AATTTCCTATATTTATTTTTATAATATTTAATTATAAATTTTTTTATCTTAGTTTTTATAAATATTAGTATTTATATAAAATAATCTTAGGTTTTTATTTATAATTAAAATAATAAAGTTTTTATAATATATATAATAAAGCCTAGGTTTTAATAATTAGCCTTTTTTATAAATTAAATAATAAAGTAATAAAAAAATTCTCTTATTTTAATTATTATTTTATTAATAATTAAGGAATATACCTTTAAACTAAGTTATTAATACCTAAATACTTTTATAAACTACCTAGCTTATTTAGCTACTATAAGGACTATAGTATAAGAATAAGATTATAGTATTATTTAATTTAGCTACTGCGGCCTTATTTTAACTAAAATAAAGCTGCTGTTTTAACTAGGGTTATTTTTATTATAATAATATATTTTTATTTTTTTATTTAGCTAAAGGAAATATTCCTTACTTTATATTACTAAGCTAGCTAAAGCCTAGCTTAATTATTTATCTTAGCTAGCACTAACCACTAGTTATAGACCTAATTAAAGATCCCTATTAAACTAAGCAAGGTAAAGCATAAGCTAAACTAGCTAAAGGGCACTAAGAACCCTAAGTTAGGCAAAGGGATTAAGAAAATTATTAAAAAAGCTAATAAAGTAGCCTAAAATAGTAAGTAAAATTTACATAGTTATATATATATAGCTAATTAAACTAGCTAATTAATTAAAGGTTACTATATATAAAGGCTTTTTTATAACTAGTTTCTTTTAGGTAATTTATCCTTTATACTTAAGAAAGTTAAATATTTTATATTAATAATATATAGTCCCTAAAGCCTAAAGTTAAAAAGTAAAGTATTTATAAATATATTATTTTTTAATAATAACTTTAGATTTTTTTTTAAATTTACTTATACATTTAATTACTTAGTAAAAATTAATAATAAAAAACTTATTATTATTATTTTAACTTTTTTTATTAAAGCCTTTAATATTTATACTTTTATTATTACTAAAGTTACTTTTAATTTTAAACTTAATTTTACTATTATTAATATTAAAATTATTAATATAAATTATAATTTTCTAAGTTACTTTTATAAAAAATATATTAATTAATAATATTTAATTAAGGAGGAAAAGGGGTTATTAAAGCTATACTAAGGATATATAATTAAATATAAAGGATAAAGGCCTTTTTATTACTTTAGCTATTTTAAGTATTTTATTTTATATTACTTTAACTTATTAAAGAAAAATATTAATTAAAGAATTAGTAATAGAGATTTTATATAGTTATAAATAAGTATTCTTTTAGAATTATATTAATAATAAAAAGAAAAAGGATTATTTAAGAAAATAATTAAAAAATTTATAACTTAAGGTAAAAGAAAAATTAAAAATAAAAAAAGTATATTGAAAAAGTAAATAAACTTTTACTTTATAAAATATTATAAATAATTTTAATAATAATTTAAATATTAATAATATTATAAATTTAAATAAAAGCTTAAGGTAAATTATAAACTAATTTAATTAAGTTATTTATTAGTAAAGGGAACTAAGTATATACTTTAGTTAACTAATATTAAATTAAAAGTAAAATATCTTAATATTATTATACCTAGGGACTCCTAATATTAAGTATAAAAGCTATAATATTATAAAATTAATAACTACTCCTAAGAGATATATAATTAAAAATATTAAGTATTATAAAATAAGCTATAAAGGCTAAGAATTAAGTAATAAAGGAAATGCCTATTTTCTACTAGTAAATATAAAATACTTATAAAGGATATAAAAATAATTACTAGTATTATAAAGTATAATTAGCTTTTGTATATAGGATAAAGTTACTAGTTCCTACTACAGCAACCTTATGCCTTAATATTAGTAATCCTAGTATATTAATAGGTTTGAAGCTAGACACTGCTCTAAACCTAACTTCGATGCCGTTTGGGATAGTTCTCTGTGACAGACAAGCTGTGGAACAGGAATCTCTTGATCATCCCACGAAGTTGTTCTCGCGGCGCTTCTCTTAGTATCAACAGAACCATCGGGAATAGTAAAGTTAAAGTCAGGCTCTGTTTTAAATCTAATACTAACGCTATCTGCGTTATTCTCTAGGGAAGTGTAATAATTACTTCCTTTCTAAAGGGTTTTAATTAAGGCACTTACTATAATTTTATTATTATTAATAAAGAAAAAAAAAACTACCCTTAATAATTTATATAAAATACTATTAATAAAAATTAACTTATAATATAATAGTATAAGTATATTTAAAGTTTTAAATTATTAAAATAATTAATTTATAATAAATATTTTAATAAAATATAAAAATATAAATAATATATAAAAAAAAGTAAATAATTAACTTTAGCTTTAGTATTATTATAAGATTTTATATTAAGGCTAAGCTATAATACTTAAATATATATTTCTTTTATAGTTATAGGTATTAATAAAAGGCTAGGCTTTATTACTTATACTTAATTTTTAATAAGTAATTATTACTTAAGAGTATTAAAAATAAACTTTTATAATTATTTTATTAATAATTAAGTATTTAAAATATTAGCTAAGGCTAAAAATATACTTATAAATAAAAGAGTATATATATATATTATTTAATATAAAAATATAAATATTAAAATTAAAATATATTAAAAAAATAAAGTATTTACCTTAATATAAATATCTTAAGTAAAAAAAAACTAAAAAAGCTAGTAGAGTTATTTTATTTATAGCTTCTATTACTTAGTGAAATATTTAGCTGTGAAATTACTTAAAGTAAAGTTATTTAAAAGGCTAAATTAGTAATAACTTTAATAATACTTTTATTAAAAATATTAAAATAAAAATATAAAAAGTAATTATTAAATAATACTTTAAGTTTTTTAGTTTTAAGTTTTACTTCTTTTACTATTATAATTATTAAAATACTACTTAGTTTTTTAATTAAATAAAATATTTAAGAAAAGGCCTTAATATACTAAAAGCCTTAAGTAAAAAAAAAATATTATATAAATAAAAACTTATTAAATATACTTTATTTATTAATAAAAAAAGCTAAAAAGTATTTATTTTAGTTTATAAAATTATATAAATAAAAAAAAAGTATTTAGCTTAATAATATCTCTAAGGTAAAATATTTAAAAAAGAGGCTTTTATTAATAATACAAATTACTTAGCTATTTTTTAAACTAAGTAATAAATATTAAGTAATAAGACCTTAGGGGCTTATTATAATTAATATATATTACTATTTATAATAAAAACTAAAATATAAATATATAAAGTATAACTAATATTAAAAAAACTAAAAAATAAAGCTTAAAAAGAGAATCTAATACTAATACTTACTTTATTATATAAAGTTATAGTAGCTTTAGAAATATAACTAATAATAGTATAGCCCCTAAGGGTTACTTAGGCACTAGTGTATAAGGCAAGATATAGGTTACTAAAGAGTAGTAACTTCGTCTTCCACTGGTCGCGATAAAGCTATTGCAAGTATTCTCACTGGAGTCTTGCTGGAGGCAAAAATCATCGTGGCATTTGCAGGTAGCGGCTCATGATAGCAGGCAATTTAACATATCAATCATTGATACCAAGTAAGAAAATTCTTAATCTGCAGACGAACTATATCATCAGAGCTCCAAAAGAATGAAATCTTCGACCACGTCCCCTGTTTTCAGCATCTCATCAGGTCTATTCTCGCCAGCATCATCCGGAACCCTCCAAATAACGTGCCTCGTACAATAATTGGCACTAATGGCATTTGCTACCCAGTAAAGTCAACCTATTTTACTGACGCTTTCCGCCATCAGTAGTAGATTTCAAGGGGACCGGCAATGGGAAAAGGGGTTTGGGATTTGGTGAATCTCCAGTCACGAATTCAATCACATCCCAGTGTTCCACGATACAGGTGCCTTGAAATCTCCAAAAGTCGACAAATGCTGCGGTAGTGCCGTTTTCCATAACACCCATCTCGACACTGATGCCAATATTGTCTTGCACAAATGTGTTCCAGACGCTGAAAGAAGTATCGTGAAACCAAGGAATAACAAGAGCAAGGCCGTCGGCTTTGCTCGGCCCATGAAATGCATCGTGGTCGACATAGTTGGGATCAGCAAGCAGATGAATATCGTATGCCTTCGTGATGTTGCGTTCTGTGAACATGATTTCAACGAACTCGGCGAAAATCTTTTGCTGCGTCTCAAAGGTGGCAGCTGTAGAAGGGCAGTATGAAATGACAGAAGGTACCGGTTTGTTGGCCGTAGGAGCAGCGTGAATGTTTGTAAGGAGGAGAGAAAGAGCTCCAAAAATGTGCTTTGCAGACATAGTGAGAGTCGTGTAAATTGATGTTATTAGCTTGTAATTTGAAGATGGTAGATGTAAGTTGAATGGTTGATATCTCCTCCAAAATCCCACATCATGATGGTTTATATAGAAAATGAGGCCATCTTTTCTCGTCCTTACCCCTTACGTTCCGAATGTTCTCCTGCATGATTGATTCCAAATTTACCGCAGTGACACTTTGGAGATATACTTTTCTACCATGATTCTTCGGCGGCGTGTAGGCCTACCGTCTCGAAGCTTCAACTATCGCGCGGCTCTAGATACCAGCAAGTGGGGGACAGAAAAACCAAGACAAAGAAGATTATCAACGCCCACCTAGTAAATTATACACCGCCCGTTCTTTTAGTATCTACAACTATATCTATATTTCTCTATTAACTCCTACTATATCTACATCTTACTATTAACTACTACTATATTTATATTTCTCTAGTAATTACTACTATATTTATATTTTTATAATAATTGCTACTATAGTTATATTATTAAATTTAGGTGTTAGCTAAATAGGCGTTCTTTCATAAAGGTACTAGATAAACTTAGTCATTAGGTGCTTATATTCCTCTATATATGTACTTATTTCTTTTGCGGTCTTGCTTTTTCTGACCTCCACTTGACCAGGTATTCAGATCGTAGACTCCACATCCCTTTGCAGATCAATGATCAGAGATTCGGCGCGCGCTTGATAACGTAGGAGCCCAGAAATGATGCCATAATCAAGGATGTTGTGGATCTTTCCAGAAGTTCCGCTTAATAAGGACGCGCCGGTGAGGGTCTTGATGGTCTCCAAATTCTAGACCCCCGGTATATGAATGCTAGTCTACTGAATGAAGCTGGGCATATTATGAAGTGGAATCCATCTGTTACTTGATATGGAAGCACGTCAATGCTTGAGACGGGATCGATTACAATTTTGTGCACTCATACTCGCCGGGTGAGGCCTAGTCTTGTTGCAACTGCTGGTGACTTGTATACTAAGGGTTCCATGTAGTATCTACGTTGAAGCTGTTGTCTATCCAATATCTCTAAATACATGGTATAGCATATGTTTAACAATAACCTAACTGTCTCTTCCGGGTGACATTTGAAGCCTGACATATACCTGCAGTCGCACTGGGGCCGCTGAGAGGCTGGGGCTGATATACTCCAGCTGAACAGCTAGTAGGATTGCAAATAGTCGAGCACGTGCCGGGCAAATAGATTCGCATATTGGTAAAGATGGCCATGGCCGCTGTCTGGATAGAGGATCAACTGCGCATTTGGCAATCGTTGCTGAAGAGTGAAGCTGTTGGGAGTGGGGATCATGAAGTCGTTCTAAGCAAATCAACAGTGTTAGCGCGCGGGTGTGCCAAAGATGACGCCGGATTTAAGATGGATGTATCCCCTACATTTCCGTTGGTGATGAGAACTGGCGTCTTCAGTCCAGGGAGTCTATCATACGACCCGTTGCGACCTCTCGTCTCATTCACAAGAAGCCATGATGAGACCAGATTCGTTTGGGCTTCTACTCCCTTTCCGCCGTCCGTGAAGTTGAAACTGAGCCAGTTGGATCGCTGTTCACCGCTCGTTGACACATTGCGTTCGTAAATTCGGTCAAACCACGAGTTGAGAGCTGATTCGCCGCGTAGGTCATGAGGGAAGAACAAAGTCGCAAAGTCGTCTATAGTTATATCGCGCCCACCAGCCAAAGTGTTGACCTGGTTTTGATGAGATGGAGAATTGGTGACGGTATCAGGGCCGCCGCTCGGGCCTGTTCCCGCAATCACGAGCTTTCTCACGGTGATATCCTCAGGGGCATTCAGGGCAACCATAGGGGCAATGTAGCCGCCGATGCTGAAGCCGAGGAGATCAACTTCTTTCTCACCAAGGAGACTCAGGAATTGCAAAACATCATCTGCAGAATCCGCGACCGTCGAGGCCACTCTTCCTGTGCTAAAACCGACCCCCGAATAGTCCATCAGGATCACGGGGCGATGTTCTGCGAGCCCGTTGACTACTAACGGATCCCAAAAGTCCATTGTGCCTCGGTAATGAATCAGCATTAGTAGAGGGATACCCCAAGTTGCTCCTAGCCGTCGGAATGCGAATCTGTCGCCATTGGGGCGCTTGAGGAATTGCATTTTCGCTGTCTGATGAGTTGACATGTTTTCTTTCTTCCGGGTTTTTATCCTGTGGTAGAAACAATGATGCTGATGCTAATGCTGAAATAAAGCCGATGATTGCAATGACGAGCACATCATGATGCACCTGTGGCGCTGATATTTATATTACGAGATCATCATGACGAATATTTCCACGCATGCTGATGGCTCTGGGGGGTTTTCGAATGGCTCTGCCTTTGCCTCGGGTTGTTCTGCGCATCTTCATGATTGCTTGTGGTCACGATGTAGGATTGTAGCCGTTTGGGGATACAATATGCTGAGATTATTAAACGGCTATTGACAATAATATAGGAGTGTGGAATCAAAAGTGATGCCGCTAGTATTTATTATGATACTATTACTCAACAACGTTTGTATCAAGGTTGTTACTAAGTCTAGTTGAATCTGCACTGACCATAATAGGAAACTGCTTTTCTGGGCGATGTTCCCGTGCCTGACATTGAGCCGAGAAGCGTTGCAGTACAGCTTATAAGCTTTGTATCAAGAATCTCACCGTCGGAGCAATCTAACCAAGCGATTATGTCAAGAATCCCGATGCAGTCATTACTTGCTTTACAGCTATAATCTGACACGACGAAAACATGTCCGTTGTTGTACTTTGACTATGTTACTGCGTTCAAAACAGTAAAAGACATGTAAAAGGGAATTTGTCTATTACAACTATGCATGTGACTGTGAATTCGTGTGCGTTGATGCAGCTTAGAAGCTACGCATTGATAAAGAAGGCTTCTTCTGCCATCACTACTCTCTTACAGTGGAAAAGGTTCATCTATTTGGGAATATGCTCAAGACTAACGCAAGTCTCTATCAACTACATCTTCCAAGACCGTCTCGTTCCTGGCTTCCGCAGCTTTGCGTGCCAGCTTGAGCCTCCTCGTGTCTCTCTCGGTATGCCGCGTGACCCACCACGTAACAATGGTAACAACAAAACACAAGGCGACCAAAGACATGGCCACAGCAAATGGAACTGTGTAATGAGGTGCATACTTGCTTCTGAAGATTTGAGGACCAACGGCACCTCCGATCTGACCATATGAATTAACGAAGCCGATGGAGAATGCAGAACCCGTTGCTCTACTCGTGGTCTGGACTCGCCAGGGCCACATAAGGGGATACCAGCTGGCTGCAAAGGCGTTGCCAATCAACGTGGCTGTATAAACCCCTGCATTATTGGGATATGCAACCAGCACAGCGTAAGAGGCGATGATAACCAATAAGCACCCGAGAGGATACAGCGGTCTCGGATATCGGCCACTGTCAGCAAATACTCCGGAGACGCCAATCACAATCAACGAAGTAGCCGTAATCGGAATATTGAGAATTTGTGCAGTAGCGATATTCCTAAGTGTATTTGTTAGTCATATTGACCATGGAACTTTACGAGACATGTGCGGGTAATCTTACGTGAAGCCCAAATTTGCAATCACAGTTGACTGGTAGAAGCGCACGCCATTGGTACCGATGGTATATATCGCCCAAATCAACGTAAATAGCCAAAGCCGAATATCTTTAAGCGAGTCAACGATTTCGCTGAACTTGAAGCTTTGTTCTTTGGCTCGTGGTGCATTTGCAGGTAACCGAGCTTGTATAAAGGCCTTTTCGGTGTCTGTCAACCAGCTGGCGGTTTCCGGGACTGGCAAGTTCATGTTAGTCTAGTGATGTCTATTGGATTGAGGCGACTCACAATCTGGGAGAAGAAACCACACTGCGATGCCAAAGACTACAGTGAGAGCACCTTCTGTCAAGAATAACCTGTGTGGTGTTATTTAACTGTGCCATCCAGTGATTGAAAGGGAAAAGCATACCATTGCCACCCTGACAGCCCGTGTGAGCCTGATGCATGATCAAAGGCAAAAGCCAAGAGGCCACCTATGATGCCCGAACAGTTTCCACAGATATCTTGAAACTTGTAAGCCGAATTCACAAATGAGCGGTGCCGGCATCGTACTCACAGAAATACAATAGCCTCAAGGACATTTCATCTGGACGATACCAATAACACATCTGTAATAGGATACCTGCAAATTGGCCGGACTCCGCCTAGGGGCATTTGTAAGGATGAAGGTTCCATAAGGAAGAGATTGAATAACATACAAGGCCGAGAAGAAACCGTGTGGCATACAAGCCACCCTTGTTGTGAACTGCTGCGTGCAGCATCAAACAAATGCCCCATGTTATTATGATTCTGGATTGCCATTTTGACGGCGTAAAGTATTTGAGCAGTAAATTTGACGGCGCTTCTCCAACAATGTATGGAATCTGGTAAACGATTAGGCATGGTTGTCTATCTGTGGATGAGGGTAACATTACAACAACATACATAGTATAACACTGTCACCAAGTTGTATTCATCGGATGTCATGCCAAGCTGAGTCATGATATTCTGATCGGTTCCCCGGTTCATGATTCGTGCATTTGAGACCTAGAGAGTCACAACGTTAGACAGAGATGCGACACACATGCTGAGTAGTTGCCTACATTGTCAGAGTCCAAATTTTTAAACAAGAAAATAAGTGAGCACAATGGCATTAGATGCCAGTCCACACGTCTTAATAGCTTCTTCTCTTCTTCAGCTGTGAGAAGAGTTCGCCCGGCCATGTCTGACCGAAAGCCATCGATAGTGTCATCCTGAGGAAGATTGGAAATTTCTTCTCCTCGTTTTGCATAGTGGACTTGAAGACTTTCCTCGGATTCAATTGAAACCGTAGTGGTTTGAATCTCTTCATCTGAACCTTTGCTGCTCGCCATTTTGTGTACTTGTCAAAGAGTCATACAACAGATGGCGCACAATAATTAAACAGTTATCCGTCCCAAGTATGTACCATTTACTATTTAACCATTTAGACATACTTTTTATCTTCTGAAAAAAAGCAAGAAGCACCAATGATTATGCCAAAAACCCCTGTCAGCACGTACTGCGGACTAGTCTGCAATATACCAGCGATCGCGGACGAGAGGCTTTGATATCGGCAGTTGGTAATTATTTGTATCAGTGTGTTGAGCCGTTTTGACGTTATATCCGGTGCATCTATGCATATCATGCGCGTTCATCTGTCAGATCTCAACCCCTCTTCGGGGTAAGTGAGCTCGCCATCCTCGTGCATGATCACGCAAGACCTGTGATCTCAAGCAAACCACACTTACAAATCGTACGAACACTTAAGCTAGTGGGGGAAATGAAATCAGTATGGGGAACACAAGCGCTGCGAATACCATCATGAGCAGATAACGGATAATATAAGTATCTGAGTATGCCCCCACCTGGAATGCTCTCAATGGGACGTCGTCGTTAAGTAGTAAATGAAACGTACTGCAGAATTATACATTATTATCGAATTTGTTAAGTGAATTTAAAGTCACCATGGCAGCAGTAGCGAGATCGGTACTGGGATCTAACGATATCCCGACGTATCACCAGATACCGGAAACAAAGTATGAACGTAAGGCACTACCTCAAGTCCGTCTGCAAAAACAAAACAAAAGATCTGCTGCTCATTTCTTTTAAAAGTGGAATGGGCCGACTTAGTTACTCTGGATCTCTCTGAATTTGAGCAACCAGGTGGTAAAGAGCGCCTCGCGAAGCAGCTCCATGAGGCCATTCAGAAGATTGGTAGGCTGTCTTACCCCCATCTCTACCTTTGCTGGTGCTGATTATCTGGCAAAGGATTCTTTTACATAACCAACTTTGGATTGAGCCAAGAAGCTGTTGATCGACAGTTTGCTATCGGCAAAGAGGTGTTTAACCTGCCCATGGAGGAAAAACTCCAGTACCGTGCCGAGTTAGAGAAAGGAGGTTACAACGGCTACAAGCCATTGGGATTGCGAGTAAGAATTACATATCAGGTACTTTTTTACTCTTTTTGCTAATGAACGTATGTGTAGGAAGTCGCTCCTGGAATTTTTGACAATACAGAGATCTACAACATAGGAAAGTTTATACCAGCGTATGAACGCCCTCAACCCGAGATCATCAACCAACACCGTGATGAAATCGAGCAATTTGCTCGACACATTCACAACAACATTGCTTCAAAGCTTTTAGTCCTCTGTGCAATTGTACTGGAGCTACCAGAGGACTACTTTCTCAACTGCCATCGCTACGAAGAAAAGTCAGATTGCCATATAAGATTTATGAAGTACACTTCTCGAACGGCATCAGAAAACCAGGCTTTGGATAACGTCTGGGTTAAGGGACATACTGACTTTGGCTCTTTAACGCTCTTATTCCGTCAACCTGTTTCTGCTCTCCAGGTCAGAACACCAGAGGGCAATTGGCGATGGGTCCGCCCATACCCAGAGAGCATCACGGTCAACCTCGCCGACTCCCTTGACTTTTTAACCAATGGATTCTTGAAGAGCTCCATTCATAGAGTTGTACGCCCACCTCCCGACCAGCAAGACGTAGACAGGCTTGGTGTTTTATATTTTGTCCGACCAGAAGACAGCACCGAATTGAAGCCGGTTGCTAGCACAGTTCTGGAACGACTGGGCTATAACAAAGTCACAGATACTAACGCTGTTGGAATCACAGCTGGAGAATGGGTCAAGGCAAGAGTGGCCAAGGGAGTGGCCAAAGACAACCAGCCAAGAAGCGAAGTCGGGGAGCAGACCATTGTCGGTGGCCTTACAGCCAAATATTATGATTAGATACCTTACATATTACTTGATGGAAGCTCCATTCAATCTAAGCATCATCTTCGACGTATTTCTTGTACACTTGAGGATAAAACTTTTGTCCGTTGGACCGATGACTCCGAATCTTGGTCCTTAGCTGGCTTTCCCCCCACGTATCGTATTTCCCTCGTAAAAATGGAGAATCGACAGCTCGTCCAACATCTGATTCAGTGCCGGCATCGGGCTCAAAGGAAGAAAAATGTTCTCGAAAAGACTCGACAGCCTCTTTCTTGGTGAGATTTCGTCGTACGCCTTGGAAAAAGGGGATGCTGTATCGTTCATCGGGGGTTGCGAGTACTCGGTGAATAGTGGCCTTGCAAGTGCGGTGTGTCAACACCTCAAAAGCTTGACCAACGTTTACCACGAACGTGTCTGGAAGCACAGGGACATCAATCCAATCGCCCGTCTTGTTGAGAACCTGCAGTCCTCTGACATGCTTTTCTGACGCTTGAAGTAGAAACGTCCACCACCCAGAGGAGTCTGTGTGCGGACCAACGCCTTGAGTGATGCCCGAATCAGGAGCAGCGGCAGGGTAGTGTACAGCTTTGAGTCGGTGCTGATCAGAGAGAAAGGAGTGGAATGTTTCTTTGGGCAAGTCCAGTGCTTGCGCAACAAGAGAAAGGAATCGCTCTCCAAGTAGAGTCAACTCGGTAATGTATTTCTCCACGACAGGCCTCAGTTCTGGCAATTCAGATGGCCACTATACAACACCGGGTTAGAGTTTCAACAGTCTTGACATGAGATAGCATGAGACGTCGGTGGCTTGACTGTTACTCACCTGATTGGGGCCTCTTAAACTCTCGCACAGAGGAGCATCCGGATCAGACACCGCAGTCAACTCAGTTGCAAATTCCACTTGCTCTCTTGCGTCGGCCTTTGCCGCTGTAGTTTCGCTACCCACAGCGCTGTAACCGAGAAAATGCTTGGAATTTTCCAGGGCAATTCTGCTTTTTGCGTCATCAGGTAGGCTAAAGAGTCTCGGAAGAATGTCTACAAGGTCTTGAATCACTCGGGGAGGCACCTTGTGATTCGAGACATAAAGAAATCCTATGTCTATCAATGCGACGCGGAGAGCGCCGAGGAGGGCTGGAAGTGTCTTGGGGTCATCTGCCAGGGCCAGGTCGATGACGGGAATCTCTTGGAAGTTATTGGTAGAGGCTGTCATTGTTTCGGGACAGTTGACGAGGAGTTTTCTTCATGAGAAGAGTCAAAATTTGGTCAGATTTCGAGGATCAAAACTTGAGTTTCAACACAGTGAAGTGAAGCTTCTGGGAATCTGAGTTAGCTTGCGTATAATCGGCTGTTCTGAGTTGACGGACGCTCTACGTAAGATGGCGTGCTTGCTTATGTAAATTCGGTACGGACCGTGTTGATCTTTTACCCGGGAGTTGGTCATTAGAGTTGAGTCGTTGAACTTCTTATAAAGAAAGGGAATGATCCATGTATAGATGATTAATTCTACAGAGAGATAATGAACATATATATCCGCAATTACCATAGTTGCACTTTTGCTTTCTTGCTGTATGAAGCTTTACTTGTTTAGGGGTCATGTACCCCGTAGTCGATGCGCAACTCAACATCAGTGTATACACTTAATCTTCTCACTCCTCTAACCGGTATATTACATTTTAGAAAAAACTCTTAATTACTTGTTATCACTGTCTACGCCATAGCTTAACCTTAAGTTAGTGACAGTTTTCGCATCTGCTGCATGTTGGTTAGCGATGGGGCTGGCACCTCGGAGATGAGGCTGGCAGCCAGTTGCTTTAATCTGGTCCTCTGCAGCGCTTATAAACAGCCGATTCCACCGCAATGATTGCCCCAGCTGCAATCATTGGTCTAATCCATTGCCTTTTCAGTGCAGCAGTATGACAGATCTTAGCATTATAGCCATCAAAGCGGATCATTCGGCGTGCCATCATTCATCGGGACAACCCTGTTCATTCAATACAGACGGTCTAGCTTCAGATTGGGCAAATCGCTGCTCTTTGTTATTACAATCGGTTTGTGCAACCTGGTAAATAACGTGTACCGGCTGATGGTCAGATATTCTCTACCAGATCACCTGCTTATCCGGAATTTAGTGTCAATCTTTTGTGTAGATGACTTTGCATGAACTCTTCACTTGGAAACAGCTGAAACAACTCCCTGTCCGCGGTGCTATTTCAACGAGTGAGCTGAGTAAGACAAACGGAAAACTTGGACCAACAGGTCGTTATTCTTCCCGCAAGCTTCTCATCGATGGTGAGTGAACTAAAACAGATTTAGAAGCTATCCTGTCCCGAGCCAACCTTTGCAACTTGATTCCAGTTCTCTTGGAGCCACCCTCCTTATGGGAGCCTTTGATCACGATAACCTCGCTTGCTAGTTGCCAATTTGGGCATGTGAAAACCTATTGTAGGATTACACATCTCTGTAAGCTACCGAGAGAACGTTGTAACCCTGGGGATCATGGAAGCGCCCGTCGGTCGGCCGGAATCTTCGAAAGAAGAAAGGCGCCCGTACCACTATCATTATACGCACAACACTCCATCTGTTCTGTGAGGGAATACGCAAGATTCTATATTCGTTATGAGGCAGATAAACCATGTTCCCCCACATAACACACTCTACAGTTACTTTGACTCCATATTGATGCAAGGCCAAAACCAGCATGGGCCGCTGCAAGGATATCAGTTATCTGTGCCATGTGCAGACGTGGCATGCTGTACGGAGTAAAGAGCAGCGCCATTACTATTCCCGATACGCCGAGACAGCTGGACATTCCCTATCGGTATTCGGTAGAGGATACCTAGAGTGTGTGCATGTCACCATCCCAAAATGCTGGGACTGTGCTCCGTAGACGTCAAACAGACATGCACTTGCTTGACCTGGTCGCTGTGCCGTTATCAGCTGTGGCTCGCTGCATGCAAGCCGCGCTGCGTGTGATGCTGCTGCAGGTCACAGGCCCATGCATTCCTACCACCGTTGTTTCTGTGACCATGTGCCCGGCAGGCTTGACTTGGTGCTTGGTGATGCCATGGATGTAACATCACAAGGCTCGCGCCAGGGCGGATAATATTCATCGGCCAAGAAAGAAGCCGCACGAGCCAAACTTCCGTACCAATGGTAAGCTGCTCTGTCTAATCAGCCTGCTAACGAGAGACGAATCCAACCCCATGTCTTCGTGGGGTGCCTTTACCGGGGGGCCTGGAGCGATGCTCGGTTAGTCTAATAAGCCTCCCACCAAGAGATAGTATCACATTCATTCCAGTCGAATCGTTACATGACCATCAATCGCTGCCTTTCAAACGTCACAAATGAGTGCCGCCTGAAGGGAAGTAATGTGAAGACTTCTCTGAAGCTTCATAGGCAGTAGTATATCAACGCTTTATGTTTTTTTTGTAGAGAATGCCGGGTTAGCCGTGTCGCGGGACGGAGAGCATTTCTCTTCTAATTACACTGCTATGCTGGCTAATAAATGTCCAGACAATTCGGGCCTTCCTAATGGATGCCTAAGCGCCTCATCAGCTGGTGTCGCGAAAGCCAAAGAGCAGCTTGACAAACTAATGATGTTAGCGTCCGAACCCAGTTCTTGCATCGGCCCAGGGATTGGGGCACGCTGTAAATATGCAATTACAGTAGCTGATTCAGATCCTAATAGCAGTCAATAGTCTATCTGTGATAATCTGTGCTCTGTAGATTTGGTCGATATAGGTATACAGCAAGCCACAGCACATTGGACGCCGTGTGTCAGCTCATCATCTCCCTGGTCGACGATTCATGTCCACTAACACAGCCAGCCCTTGCACCGTAAGATTTGCTCCGAAGCCGACATCAACCATGACAATTGTAGAAATTCTGGCGATTTGAGCCTGATGGGTCCCACAAAGCAAAGGAGTGAGAAAAGAGAGAGGAAAAAACAAAAAAAGCAACCCGGCTCGCGATACGCTGCACGCCCACAACCCATGTAACTTGAGACGTTCCCACGAGGCACAAAGCACCCCGGATTTCGTTTCTGAGCCATTCTGCACGAGCCGTTACCCATGCACAGCAGCCACAGCGTGACATTTGATGTGGTAGCACGAGGTGTGCAGAAGACCATCGTCCGGTGTTTGCTTCCTCAGGACCGTTGTAACCCCAGATGCAAATATGCCGCATCGATCCCGTGCACACGCTTGCTTGGACGCGTAGACGTACTCATAGAGTAATAAGGAATGAGAAACGTTGAGAGTGACTGATAACGGGCATGAGCACTGACTGAACAAGCCCCATGCATGAGAGGAATCTGGTTATCAAGCCCTGGCCTGGCCCTCTGGGGGGGCGTGAGACAGGACAGGCAACGGGTTTGGCACTCCTACCTTACAAAAGCAGCGTGGCCTCAAACGCCTCACGATGCTAGAGCTCCCTGATTGAGTCTAGGCTGCTGGTCTTGGTAGCCGAATTACCGATCCGTGTAGCAGCAATCCAGGAACGCGAGATCCAGTGGCCGCGCCGCAGCCAATCGCCTTGGTCGCCAGTTCTTCATCGAGAAGCTGAGTCGGCTCTCCATTCTGTTGTCGACGACGGGTGGTCCGTCACTTGATCCTTCATCTGCTTCTAGCGGGATGCCGTCCACGCGATTGAGGCCGACATGTAACGTCTCACTCCGCCCATTGGATGCAGCGCCCAGATTAGACAAGGCATTTTGGAATGATGAGGAAACGGGGAGTGAGGCCATCATAAAACGAATTTGGACGAGTTTCCTGATTAATTATTCTCCTTGACAATGTTTAAATACACCGTGCCATTCCCTCTGTCGATGACTTCCTTTCATGAGCCTCAACAGTAGCTTCTTCACCACCACAACATCCACAACGGATATCGCAAGATCCTAGACGGGTCTGTCCTTTCCTTCTGCTCGATTTTATCATCTTCTTCGTATATATATTACATCTTTTGTGTACATACCGTCATACATACAACATGTTCTTCTCAAAGGTCGCATGTGGCGCTGGCCTCCTTGCCAGCCTCGTCTCGGCAGCTCCCAGCCCAATCGCTCGCCGACAAGCACCAGGTGCTCAAAACGTCGTTTACTGGGGTCAGAACGGTGGCGGGACGGTTGAGAATAACGATCTGTGAGTATGGCGGCAACGACGGAGATGAGTGCCTAACAGTTACCTAGGTCGGCATACTGCACCCCAACTTCCGGAATTGACATTATTGTTCTTTCTTTCCTTTACCAGTGGGGAAATGGAGCATCAGCATTGGGTGGTACTATCGGTCAATCTGTGAGACACCTCGTTCACCGTTTGGTCACGACACATACTGATCAATATATAGTGTGGAATTACTACCTCCGGCCAGCCTCAGAACTGTGACGCTTTGACTGCGGCCATCACGCATTGCAAGAGTGTCGGTGTCAAGATGATTCTGTCTCTGGGCGGTGCCAGTGCTTTCTCCTCATTCACAAGTGCCGACCAAGCTTCACAGGCTGGTCAGTACCTGTGGAATGCTTATGGAGGAGGCTCCGGTGTCACCAGACCTCTTGGAAACAATATTATGGACGGATTCGACTTGGATATCGAGAGCAACCCGGGTGGAAACAACATTTTCTACGCTTCTCTTGTCAACACTCTTCGATCCAACTTTGCCAGCGACCCAGCCCACAAATATGTCATCACCGGTGCTCCCCAGTGCCCTATCCCCGAACCCAACATGGGAGAAATCATCAGTAATGCGCAATTCGATTATTTATGGGTCCAGTTCTACAACAACAACGACTACCCGGCCGATCCCTGCTCCCTTGGTCTTCCTGGAGACGCTCCGTTCAACTACAACAACTGGACTTCGTTCCTTGAAACCACCCCGTCCAAGAACGCTAAGCTCTTCGTGGGTGTTCCTGTGAGTTGACCCTCGTCCCATTATTGGGAATACATTCTGATAAAATATCCAGGCTGCTCCTCTGGCAGCAAATGGCGGTCCGGGCGGTGCCATCTACTACGCCACCCCTTCACAACTGGCCACCATCGTCAACGACGTCAAGGGCAACTCGAACTTCGGCGGTGTGATGATGTGGAGCGCTGGCTTCTCCGATTCCAACGTCAATGACGGCTGCAACTATGCCCAGGAGGTCAAGAACATCCTGGTCAAGGGAACTCCTTGCTCTGGCAGCCCCATCTCCGTCTCTCAGTCACCAACCCCTCCGGCAACCGTAACTTCCAGTGCACCTGGAACCTCCGCGACTCCTCCTCCTTCAGGCGGTGGCTCCGTCCCCCAATGGGGTCAAGTAAGTTTATGACCACTCCTATGTTGACCGTGATATCTAACGACAGTATCGCAGTGTGGCGGCAACGGATATACAGGCCCAACTCAGTGCGTTTCGCCTTTCAAGTGCGTTGCCACTTCTGAATGGTGGTCTCAGTGCCAGTAAATGGAAGCATAACTCAATTCAGAGCTTCCTTCACAATGCTCTTCATTCGATTGGCAGTAGCCAGTCTCCCTTTCACTACATGTATATATTTTGATGAGAGTTCTGTTTGCCTGCATGACTATACCTACAAAAATATGTGGTTACCTAGGCGCCTATCTGTATATAAAACGATAAACTTACAACAATGAGAAAAACAAACCTACGTTCCATCCTTCATTATGCCGCGGTTATCGACAAAGGGGCGCGTCTGTCTCACGATTTCTCTGCAATTCAAGTCAAAGAAGCAGCCTTCAATGACCTATGCAAGATGCTGTCAATACAGATCGTTGTCATCAAGAGTGTGTGAGGGAAAGTAAATACCAGTTTGATGGCAATACCGCCTTCCCGCGATGTGATGGTGCAATTTTACCCGGGGACATTAGAATGAATAGTTTTTAGTGAGTATTGTTTTGCGTGCTGTGTTTTACCTTTCTGGTCTCATTCTGCTTGATCCGTTCTCCTCGACGAGAAGCTCTGGTCAAAGGGCGAGAAGAAGTATTTTGGAGTCGGGTAGACAACAGTTAGCTCGTTCTACGTGCTGCACTCCATACTCTAGCTCTCTTACTTCATCATTTATGACCTATTCGTTAGGGAGGGATAAAGAGAAATGAAGTTGTCAGCGTGTTCGAGTGCTGGGGTGCTGGAGGACTAGTTGTCGGCCTTTGCAGCAACCGTTTTCGCTGCTCAAATTCTTCCAGTCTCCGGCGAGGATGACGTTGGCGGGCAGTGGTATTTTGCTGCTAGGGAGACTGGAAGCGATAATGGGTAAGTCGCTGTCTATATTCCGGTCTGAAGGTATTGCAATCATGGAATTACATAGTGAGGCTGGAGGAAGCGTTTGGGAGCCGCGCTGGGAGGAGTACGAAAGTGAATCTAGAAAACAAGAGGGGTCAGCGACAACAAATTAATATTCCGGCACCGTAAAATACTCACTAGTTATCAGAAAGGGGGAGAAATATCGTGCAACATTCGAACTCGGGACCAAAATTTAGCCCCCAAAGAGAGTGGGCGATGATATTGGCCTTTTCTTTCTTTGGCAGTGACTTGAGTTTCTCTACCACCATAGCCTTCGCCAGTACCTACCCAGAGGCCTTGAAAGACTGCTGGTTCGCGCGATGAATGTTCACGAGGGTTGTAGACTGCCCTCAGAAAGGGTTCCTGAAAACAAAACAAAAATGGTAGTATCGGCGGTTAATTTGTTCTTAACAACCTCTGGCTAGTCCTACAGAACGTACGGTCAGAGTAGCTCGAGAGCCTGCAGTGTGTCAGGGTCAATAGTAATAGCATCGTCACTAACCCAGCCTCCAACGACGCCAGTATCGAGAACACCGTGGAAAGAAAACTCGCATCTTTCACATACAATGTCTCAACAGAAACGCGAGAAATCTGGTAATAGTGACGTTGACTTTAGAGTCTAGGTGCCGAAGACGGAAACAATTTTGACAAGAAGTAGCTTACTCTAACCGTTTCGTGATGTATGAGGATAATTGTTTTGTCAGCTCGAGCGGCCTGTAGAAACGCGAGCAGCACGTAAAGAGAAGCAGACTGTTGATCTCGGCTTTGGTCTCATCGCGATGGTAGATGTTTCGTCAAATATAATCCAAGACTCTTTCGGAAACGTTGGACATGGGAGTCATGATGCGAGTGATGGTGACGTTGAATCTTCGCGGGTCACCTCTAACTCGTGTAGCTCTCATCGCACCAATGAAAGAACTCTTCCTTCATTGTCCTGTGCCTAGTAAACCAGCCAGCCATACACCAATTTGATACTGTAGAAACAAGTGTTTAGCCTGGAACTGTCGGTTCGAAATGCCGTACGTTTGCAACACTATTGTCCAGATTGCTCAGAGACGCTCTGGGCCTTGATGTCTTCCGGGATACTGCTCACCTGCTCAATCACCCAGTTATGCTGCTTAGGGCTCCCGAAAATGCTGCAATGTGTCTGCTCAGAGTTGACGGATGGGATCCCAAGGGACGCGGCGGACTAATACATACGCCCACCGTGTTTTAGGCTGATGCCCAAACGCACAGGTGAGCTGTCGGAATAATCATCTTGATGCATCTCAGAGGTATGTCCATCTTCACGTTGTCCGATTCCCTAACTGAAACCGTCGCTAATCCCCAACTGTCACTCAGTGAATCCGTCGCCAATCGCCCCTTGTGCTGTCCATCTCCAGCATGCTATTTTCAATCACCAACATCCACATCCACACTCGGGGATTCTCCATCCTCACCAAGGCGACGGCGCCATCGTCATTGACTTGAGCTCGGAAATGAGAGTGGTCTTGATTGAGGATGCTCAGTGGCTGTGATATCCACGTATCTCCATTCTTCTTCTCGCTGTTGGCCGCAAGGTCGATCTTGTTAATATTCACCGTAGTGCCTCCTATATGACCCATTCGAAAGCGTCCAAGAGCCTCCATGGCAAATACAAAGCGCGAGCAGTCTGCCCTCTCCCCTCCCCCACCCTATATCGCGGGACTACATGTTACTATTTTTCAACAGAGAGAATAGATAGAATCTTGCTCCAATTGATTAGTTTTCCGTCCCTGTCGATGGACGCGGCGCTTTTGAAGCATCTGCGTCTTTGTTGGATTAGCTTTTGCCACTTGTCCGTGGTCGATCAAAGTTTCGCTGGTGAGACTCAACAACGTAAATTGCTGGAGGCATGCTGCTATAACTTTAGGCAATCGCATGGCGAGTTTAAGACTACTTCTATACTATTGATTAAGGAATATCCGCCAAGCACCTGAAGGAACACTTGGAGAAGCTGTTTGGAAGACAAACGCTGGAGGAACCCGGCTTGCGGTAAGCCTCGCCAACAGCTCTGAGGAAACCCACCCTAGTAGCTTCTGGAAGCTTACGCAGCATAGCTGGCTGATTGAGCAAGCGAAGAGTCTTTGGAAGATGGTCAATTCCGAAGCGTCTCTGGAGGCCCTGGAACCATCATGATTCAAGCGCCCTACAGCACTGCAACCGGCACTATCAGGGGGAGGTTAAGCAATGGCCTGCAGACTGGCAAGCCCGTGTCCTGGTCTTAACGGTTGATAAAGCACAGGGGAATCAAGCAGATGTGGTCTTTCTCAACATAGTCTGAACTACGTCGGCCGGCTTCATCGACGACCCTCAGCGACCCAACGTGCAACTCAACATCGCCATCACTCGGGCGAGGCAGGCCAAGGTCATTATCATGCATATCCGCATGAACTATCGGCAAGCCAAAGGATGCTGGATTTAGATGACCCTTACATCGCTCGGATGATTGAAAGGGTTGCTGTGGTAAGAAAACAGCTGATGATTGTCTCGTCAGTTTGGTGTCCCATTCAATCAACAAGGTGAGTCCCGGGCGACGCAACATTGCCATCGCCGAAGATCACCATGCACAGTGGGTGAGTGATGTCTGCAGTGGTACTGGTCACAGGCAGCACGGGAACTACAGGTATCATATTAGAGCACGGTGATGTGGTCACTGCCTACCACCACTCATAGCCGCCCGTGGCCTACCTCAAATGCATCTACTCTCTCGAGACAATCGCAGCATTGGCATCACTAGAACCCAGCCTTGGCGACGACGTGCCCATCGCAGCAAAGTCGAGAATCCTCGAGTTCCTCCCCAAGTCATCAGAGCAGCGCCCTCGACGCCCTCATGTTTCCACGCATCTCCGACTCATCTCCTAGCCCAACGTTGGCCGCTGTGCCAAGATGCAACAGGCATATGTCTCTGCTTCGTCGATAATTGCAGTGCCGTTTGGAGCGTTTCTATTATCCAGAGCGCTTAAACACCTTGGATCCCTTCTGCAGCTTGTGCTTCTGGCGAGGAAGACTTTAGCGACCAAGTAGCAGATGCATATTCTCACCGGAGCTGCTGTCGGGATACTCGGCCAAGAGACACCGTTCTGACCATCGCTGAGGATATGTACAACGGCAGAAACCGTCGCTATGGCCACGCTACCACGCTGCTTAACCACTGGAGATCAGGCATACATCATTCCCATCGTGATCAGCGACGTTGATCCAGTCCACCATGATCATTCTGCTACTCGGATTGCCATGAGCAGTCATCATCATTGCCCCCCTCGACTCAGGAATTCGCCGTCTGCCTAGAAGGTTCTGCTATATGTCTTTTTCGAGCCGGTGAGTATTTCTCTCGAGAGAGAGATATTAGATGATGAAGTGCTTACCACGGCATGTGCCGAATACTACAGTCTAGATGCCGCTCGACACACCAAACCCCCCATCAAGTGCCCATTGACGAAAACAACGCTGCCGTCCATTCAACTCTTCAGCTCCGATCTCAATTCTGCCATTACTTAGCGGCTTTGGATGCACTCATTTTGTTATGCGTATATGACGCCGTCAGTCGAATTCACCGTCTTCGACTCATCACTTTTAACGCGACAATCTTTCGAGTGCTTCCATTGCAAGAGGAGACGTCCTACTCTGACCTCCCCATGGGTGAACAGCCACAGGGGCTTTAGCTGTCTTTTCCTTTCATTTCTTCGTTCTGCCCCCTGCTCATTGCGCTTCCAACTTGTCCTTCACCTCATATCCAAGTCCGAGGCGTCGCGAACGTCAATCCACGCACATCAACTATTTCGGCAACTCATCTTGCAGCCCTACTGGCCAAAGTCACAGATGGCGGCCAAGCTACCCCCTCTCGTGGGTGCGGGTGGTAGCAGTAGCCCAGGTCGCACAATGCCTTCACTATAACATAACAGAGGCGGTGAATGAACAACTCTTTGGTCGATACGGAAACAAGCAGTACGGTGAAGAGATGGGCAAACGGCAGCTGTTGCACAAAGAAAATCTTTGTCGAGCATAAAAAGTCGCCACACCTTGCCCATCTGTCATGTTGCGCTTCGCCTTTCCATTGTCTTCAATATACTCTCTATCGCGACGTTCCTACCACACTACAACATCTGACAGTTCATCTTTCGGTTCCCTTTATCTCTGTAAGATCATCATCCTGTCCTCGGTTTTAATGAACTCTGACCACGTCCGTGGTTGGAAATATGTTCAAGGAGATAACTGACTTTGTGCATGGTTAATGTACTTAGACCCCTTTTGTAATTTGGAATCCGACCCAACCCTTCCATATCGACACCACGAAGTCTTTTACCCGCTATACCCTGCCGTTATGACACCGGGTCTTCGAGGAATAGCCACCCCTATTCAACAGCCTTTTCATTTCTTATCCACGCGGTCACATCTACAGCTCATATTTTGGGAAGCAGTTTGAAGAGCAGGAAATTTCTCGATAGCATACATCTCAGGTACATATTCAGCTCTTCTCCGAAGCTAGCGTCGAGTATTTGCCGGCGACAAATGACGACTGCCCCAACCAAGGATGCATTCATCGTCAATGTCCGAGGTCCCAGTTGGGGCTGTCGGTTTGCCTCGCCGTGTCCACCCTTTATTCTTACTTCAAATCTGTCTAGTCACCCTTGCTTGGACAAAATTTTGTCATCTTGCCCCGTTCTCGTGGCCAAAATCCACCCAGGTACAGGTACTCCAGCGTCCCTTGCTTCCTCTAAATAAATACCTTGTATTCGGACTGCTGAGGTTAAATTGACGACATTCGGTTGTCCATTTGCATCGACTTGGGTGACTGGCAGCAGCAAAAAGAAGTGATTCAATGAGCCTAGATCGAATCGTTCTGGGATATAGCACTTGTTCAAGGTAGCGAAAAAAGATTCTATGGATATATGTATCCGCCAGTATCGCTACTACCTAACCTATGTACCTCGCCTAGGGGGGAGGGTCACCACACGGCCGCGATGATGCAGGTTGCGTAACACTTTGTGCATCATCCTGGCTTTTGTATAGTGCTCAGAACCTACCCCGAGTGGCACGCCGACTGGTCCTAGCACGTTGATGTCGCCAAAAATAAGCAGCCCGCTCTTCTGGCGGCTGAGCATCACGTTGAAGCGGTGCTCATCGGTCGTGAATCCCGGCCCGACCGCCTCGGTGGTCCCTAGGATAGCAACGACGATATCAGCTTCGCAGCCCTGACTGGAATCAACAGTCTCGGCGGGCCGCATGGCTGAAAGGGGCGCATATCGGGCTGCCTTTCGTTGGTCGGCAATAAGCTTCACGTTGGCCCTATATGGCGTAATAATAGCTAATCGAGAGGCGTTGATGCCTCTGGATCGCACAAAATCGCAAAGCAGATCTAGGGCGTCCTTGACCTGGTCTGGGTCCTTTTTCGCCCCGGTCATCGAATCAACCTCGCAGGTGGTCCCTTCGCAATGAACGAAGACCTCACTCAACGTATTGACACGTGATGGGGTCAGGCCGGGGAATCTGCCAGTCATGTAGGTCTCTAATTCGACTCCAATACTGTGATCACAAAGGTTGCTGCGGAGACCGTACGTAAATGGGAGGTCGCTATATATTTCGCGGTGGCACGTGTCGAATAGGCCTCTGGCCATTCGCAGCTGAACGCGGAGACGGTAGATTGGCCGTCCCGATGCCGTAAAAAATTCAAGCGGCGATATTAAAGCGTCTTGAGCAAACCGGTTGATAGCATCATTGGGGTCAGGGTCGTATGCCGTGGTGACGTGGGGGCGGAGCTGCTTCTCATCACCGCTTATGAGGCAGGGCAGCAGAGTGTTACCCCAAGCACTATAAAAATCAGGCCGGGATATGTTTCCCGCTTCATCAACTGCGATGCCTCTAGCACGTTCCTTCCAAGGTCTATAAGGACGGCCACACGATAACGAAGGGGTCGTGCAGAGAATATCGGCCCGCTCAATGATGTGGAGCAACATTCCAGTGATGAAGCCTTTGGAGACCGCCTCTCCCTGATATTCCTGCCAACTGATCCTTCCGGTAGCGAGATCGCAGAGGCGGCCAAACTCTGGCCTAGCATCCATGTCCCTCTGCATCTGCTAGATGCTCTCAGGGTCATCTTCATGAAGCTGGGGAACGACAGGCGAGCGCAGGACTGTAAGGAGCCAGAAGCTGGGAGAGAGATTGAGCTTCTAGTTCGAATCTGCTCTCCAGTTGGTTGCCGTGGTACCGCGGCTGCGAGAATTGCGCAGAAGGCCGATGAAGACATCATATTCGTCGCGGAATTTATAACCGCGCACGATCAAAGCCCGCCGCCTTCGCGTTGAGTTGCCTTTATTATATCGATCGGTCACGGTCTTCGTTACACGGCTCAATCTCTCGGCAAATGTGTCAGTGGCGACGTGCGTGGGAGCAAAAGCATATATTTTGCCCAAAGTTGCCGCCATACCAATAGCTGCAACAGAGATCGCGGTAGTTTTACCGAATCCAGGACCCTGTGTATGATGGTTAGAAAACGTCATTTAAAAGATCGATGTCATAAAAGAGAGGGTCCCTACAGCAGAAATGCAGCCTAGGCCAAGAGGTCTTTTCGTCATGTAGTTGTAAAAGCGAGTTCGGTCCTCGGGAAGCACCTCCAAGAGCAGGGCGTTGATAAATCCGTCATCATCAATATCTAGGTAGTTGACTATTGGAAGGCGCTTCGGCGCACGGCCATAAGGCTCGTCGCGCACAAGGAGATCGTAGAATCCGTTGCCGCGCAACAAGGCCCGGTGAAGCGCCATCTTGAACCTGATATCTTGAGGGGCCTCAGCAGCCGATGGCTGAGCTCGCGGGTGGAACATGCAAACGGCATCGACTTTCCGTTTACACTCCTTGAGTTGATCGTCAAACTTGAGAGACACAGTGTTCCACCGATTTTGGTCTTCTCGCAGAGCGGCATTTGCCATCGCCCGGTTGTTGAAAACATGAACCTCGAAGTCGGCGCCGCGTGGCCTTCGAACGCGGAGAATAAGATCGTTATCCCTTATCTGATGGTGAGTCATGATGGCAATATCTCTAGGATGCTCCATGACTTTGGCATCCCAGGTCGCGGGCTTCTTATCACCATCGCCATCGAAGAGCTGGATCTGCAGGGACTCATTCTTGATCAACTGTGGCCATATTTCCCAGAACTTATTAATGAAGTTATCCTTGAGAGGCACGAGTGCATAGACTTCGTTGGCAAAGGCAGAGTTGTCTTCCACCTGTACGAAATAAGCGCGCAGCCTTGTTTCCGCAATTTGTTGAATCTTCTTGTACAGCCACATAATGTCCTGTACTTGAGACTGCGTCATTGCAGCGAGGTGCTCATTATCGTTATCAAAGGTCAAAGCAGCAGCAAACTGAGGGCCACGATACTTGAAGAGCTGCTCTTCGTATCGTTCTAGAGACCAGGAGTGGTCCTCGCCATAAGGGTACCGAAATGGCCCCGGGAGCTCTTGAGACCAATATTTCTCCAAGACACGATCGGGCGCGGCGACAATAAACGAGAACTCTCGACGCTCCAGGATATCGATGAGTGTTACATCATCTCCAACAACTGGTTTGTTATAGTTGATCCACCCCTCGCTCGGGTGGTCAGGATGATTAAAGGGATTGCCGTATCCCTTCACTGTCACGTGTGTGCCCTCATTCAGATACACATTTAACCGACACATTCGTTTGGTGGTATCGGGAAGTGTTGCCAGTAAACTCTGCTCAGCCTGTTGAATGAAGAAGGGAGAGTCTGTAGGAAATTCAATTGATATTTTGTAATCTTGCTTAGGGCGACTTGACTGAACCTGGCGGGCCCCTGATATTTGATGAAATATTAGTTCAATTTCCTCCACCTCTGTATGGCAGTATAAAATACGTGTAGCTTTACTTACATTCATGACAGATGCCAAACCCGTTATTTTCGTTGTTTGTGGCGAATGGAATGAGGATTGTAAACCCTAGCCAAGATGTTCTGTCACTTTCTCTATGCACCTGGATCATCGTGGTAATGTCTGTTGGTAAGCCCAAGCTTTTCCCACCAAAGAATTCATCGTTGATTTGCAGAGCACATGGTTTCCAGTAATGGCAGTGGCCCGGTTCAGTGGTGGCGGCTATTCGAGACATGCTGGGCTATACTCGACTGGGAAACGAGTACGGGAAAGCAGCCGTAGGTTGAGTCCTGCTCACTAGGAGGCAGGAGAGAAGAGAAGAGAAGAAAGGGGACGTAGAATATCGAGAAAAGCGATCCGTAGAAAAAGAGTCCTGCTCACTAGGAGGCAGGATTAAACAGGAGAAAAAGGAAGAAGATAGAAGAGGAGGCGCTGCCCGTGACGAAACAAGACGAAAAACGCCTGCTTGAATAGGGACAGGATGAGTCTGTGAATAGGTACTCTCAGCACGGAGGAAGCTGGCGGGCAACGACTGCGGCAATCACAGTGTTCACAAAAGCTTGTGGACTGAAAAAATAGATGAAAAGTGATGGGAAAACAAGATGATGATGAAAAAGAGAAAAAAAAGGATAGAGGGCGAGGGACCAGCCTGATAGCGTTCTTTTTTTTTTCAATCAAACGCGTTGCCAGCTGTTCACCGGCTCAACGCGCCTCTGGGCGCACTGGAGATTCACTCACTGCCCGCTTTTCTCCCACATCTCTGTCAGAATTCTCACCATCTAAAATGCCTATTATGGTTGGAACTTTATTGAGTACCTAGTATGGAGTTGTTAAATAACTACATAGAAGAACACTTTTGACTTGAATAAGAGAGACGGGTAATTGTAGCTTTCCAACGCTTCTTAGAGACTTAGGTAAAGGGTTGTGTAGTCGAGATTGGAAGTCCAAAAATATGGGGACATTGGGGGGTGTCACTTTTGGTTTGATATCCGTATTTAATGTTTACCTTGGCTTGAATCTGATACGAACAAAGAACGAATATCTCTAGTGACGTACCTACATGTAGGTGTGTATCGAGCCGCAAAGATAGTAGTCAATGAGCAACATAGAACGGGCCACCGCGTGATACTCTCCTACCTTGTTAATAATACTAGCATTATCTAAAGGGAAGCACATCATAGCACATCGTTCAATTTGAGGCTGCGTCTATAAATAGAACGTAGGGTGCGGCACCGAAGTCACAGTGACCGAGAATAGTAGGCTGAGGGTGGCCGAGAACGGCACATCAAGCGGAGATTTGGAAGTGAAGGCACTTGAGGTGAAGTCGGTGAAGGACTAAAGATGGACCGACAACGAGCACCAATTAGGGGAGCTACGGGAGAAAGATAGGCGAGGGAAAGGGAGATTGTAGGATGCTGTGAAAGAAGACTGGGCGTAACGAGACTGGTTGCTGATGGTGGTGATGGGCACAGGGTGAGCCTGACTTGAAGGAGCGTTGAGAGGAAGACCTATTTGCTAGACCAATAAGGAAGTGAATAGAAAGTGAAGAGCATATTAATTGTTATTCTAGCGCGCCTGGTTTCTCGGCCAATTGGAAAGTGAAGAAAAAGTGAGCTGCATAAGGTATGCATGAATCACTGCTAATCTGACGCGCGTGATGGGCCGCCAGCCGGCAACCCTTCGTGCCCGCAGCCAGATAACTTGCACTCCTCTTCTTTTTCTTCTTTCTCTTCTTTTTTCTCTTCTTCTTCATCAGTTATCGTCTTCATCTCGGCCCTTCACTGTTGTGTTGTGCCTTTTTCGCCTGGTAAGTCCCCCATCTTGAAGTGTTTTGTTCTTTACGACACTTCTATATCGGATATCCATCCATATTCTGATGCATTTGATGACTGACACTCATATAGCTCGTTTCCAACGTTGTTCTCGCCGTCTCATCTTGTCTCTCGAGACAAGATCGTGTTGTTTTTTTCGCCGATTATCGCCTCCTCTCGGTCCCTCCCTTGTCTCCCAGTGAGCAAACCCGGCGCCGAAAAAACATTGACCCGTAGATTCTGGGAGCCCGTGCCGCGATCCAAAATGCCAGGTACAACTTGAAGTTCTATAAAGGTCCCGTCTGCAATCTTCACGTTGCCCGATCCCGGATTAGCCCGTCTCTAATCTCCGATTCCTGTCACTCAGCGATACGATCATCAGTAAATCCGTCACCAGTCGCGCCCTGTGCTGTCGGTCGCCTCCCTGGTGATGTCGTTACCATTGGATGCTACAGTATTTTCGCCGGCATCCACATCCACACTCATGGAATCCACCGCGGGGCTTTATCGCAGGCTAGATCAATGTCAGATCGCCGGAACAGACCAGTACCAATGGATCACTTTTGCAAGATTGAGCATTGCCATTGCCATTGGTGGCCCGCAACGCCGATAGCCAAGCATTTGGCCTACAGAGATGATTGGATGCTTACGGGCTTCTCAACGGCATTGACAAGGTGCGTGCTTAATTTCTGTCTGTGGGCTCCGTCTTGTGTTATTAGCCGGCTCCTGGCAGTTGATGAATCGCGGCATTCTGGACTGCTTTCGGAACACTAATATCGGCTCTAAGCGGATTCAACGTCGCACTATCGAATTCTTTGCACGAACTGACAGGGTCTTGCCACGTGATGGCGCCGAGCAGGGGAAATTAGCCCAAGACGTCAGAGATGACATTGCCCATTGTCATTTTAAAACAAAAAGGAGCTCCCTGTCAAACGGAGCAAGCTGGGGCGTTGCTGGGTTGAGATTCCATCCCCAAGCCTTACTTGAGCGGCGACTGGCTGGGCTTCGACGATACGGTCGCCGGGGGTTGATGCCAAAGGATAGAAACAGGAAGAAACCGATTACGACTACTGGAGACGGATTTGGCGCGCGTTGATCGCCGAGTACTTTGGCGGAGGAGTTCAATGGGGAATCAGTCCCAGCACAGCCTTGACGGACGAGGAGGAGATGGCGAGGGGCAGCGTAGCCGTTCAACCACCGCCACGAGAAGCGAAATCGAGTCCGAATATTACCGTGACGGCAGAGGCAGAGGCAGAGGCTACTCCAACCGAACAGGCCGGGATCGCACTTCCGTATTCCAGCCATCCGGGCCTACATTTTTACGAGACTCTTCGAGATCTCCCCCTCCGGTGACGAGGGATACCAACCTCGACGCATCGAGCACCACCAACATACTCCAGAAGGCAGGAGAGTTTTACGATTTTCGGTACGATCATGTCGCTCCACCAGCTCCGATCCCAACCGCCACGATTTGTGGACTGAGAGCCCGGATATTTTGGCTTGTACTGGGAATTGTTGTGCTGCTTCTGGCGGTTGGAGTAGGAGTTGGCGTTGGCGTTGGACTTGGAGCGCAGAAACACAAGTCAAGTGCGGAACCAAGGTACGTTGAAGAAGAGTGCCCTTGTCAGGTTCATATCATCGTCTGTTTTTACTAACAACAATCTCTCCACGACAGCCCTGCGACGACGTCTACCGGGTTACCACACACCTCGGCTTCAATCCCGACCGCAACCTCGACTTCAAAGACGCCCTCTGCAACTAAATCCCCCTCGTCTGAGTTGCTGTCCTGCCCGAGCAGCAACGGCACTCAATATAATGTCCCTGACTCACAAAAGACCTTCCTACTCATCTGCGGAATAGATTACAGCGGTGCGGATGAAGCAGAAGATTTGACCAGTGTATATACCGTTGGCATGGAAGACTGCATCACGAGCTGCGCCAACTATCCTGGCTGCACGGGATGTGGCTGGGGCATCCTTGCAGGCGACGGCAGTTTGCACCGCTGTTGGCTGAAGGGATCTCTGAGGAAGACACACAAGGACAAGACAGGTTGGTACTTTGCGACTTTGGAAGGGACATGATGAATGAATTTCTTTTTATTTGCGATTATAGCCTGCCATCCATACAATAGAGGAATAGTGTTTAATGCTCTCCATGGGAACGGATTCATCGTGGCTATGTTCTTACGCGTCTGTTGTGCCGTTTCCTCCCAATACCTGATGACTGATACAAGTATGTCAGCAGTAAATACTATTTGCAATATGGAAAGCCGGAGCGCGGTCTTGCTATTTATTTTGTAGAAAGGGAGTGACTATTCGGCACCCCAAGTTTGCCGTCGAGCAAGCCGTTCTCAGATGTAAAGCCAGTGGAAATTATACGAAAAGTACCTAGGTCTTTCCAAGTTGTACCCAAAACTATGGCCTAGCCCTGCCAACAGACTTTTCTGACTGGAATTGTTTTGTTGTCACGACTTCGCCTAATCCATTTCTGCCATGTCCACACGAAAACATTTGCCCACGGCCACCAAGATGCCGCACGCTTAACGACTTTTTGTACAATATGAAGCTTCTGGTCACATCCATCCATAGTGACCGCACGCAGGTCGAGAGAGAAGCAGCCATGCGAGCAGTGGTCAAGCTCTTGTTGTCGGCTACTGGAGTCACAGCTCGCGGAATCGACGTGCGAAATGTCATGCGCGTCATCAATTACGATCTGCCGTCGATAGATCATGGTGGAATCGAAGAGTACACTCATCGCATTAGTATATACTTTCCTCTTATCATATCTCATACTAATTTAATCATAGCCAACCTTATGACTAGGTCGCACCGAGGAGTAGTAATTTTATTCTTTACCAATCGTAACGAGGTGATCGCAAGGGTTCTTACCAGAACGTTATTGGAGACTAACCAAGACATTCCTAACTTCCTTTGATCGTATATCCCGGAGAATTACGCCGACGGCATCAAGGTGGAGTTCGAGACGGAGTCGGACTTTAACCCCAATGATGTTGCCGGGCGCTGCGGACGCCCACGGAGGAGGTTGGGGAGGCGAGGGGGAGGATCCGAGTTTTGACTACCGGGGGCTGAGCTGGCTCTGAGAGAGCTCACGATACTGCCTTGTACATACATCCGAAAGGCATCTGGCTCGATACATGGACAGAATCTGGAAATGTAGCTAATTGGAGGTGTTGAATACATCCGTTTAATGTCCCCTGTCGCCAAATGATCAAGCTGGGTGTTGGATAGCATCAATTAATTACATTAGAAAATATGGGGATGCGAATCTAAGACGCAAAGAGGTGAAGGGGTGGCACTAATTCTTTTGGTCAGATCATGGGGTGGAATAGATGGTGAATTGGCTTGCACGAAAGCCATTATTGGGAAAAAAGAATAACAGACGCCGAACCGCGGTAGGTAGGATATAAAAGGTCCAGCCCAGGTACGTCTGGTTGGTACATGTAGCACCATTGCAACATATTCTCCCTCACGTGCTCCCCCATTGACCATGAGCATGTGCTTTGGCATCTCCAACTAACCGCCAATCATCCTCTGCAGCATCCATAACCATCGTCTTACTGCCGTAGCGGGAGCTTCCAGCTTGGCGAAAACGGCCGAAAATGATGCTGCTCAATTGCCTCGCCAAATATGGTGCCATCAGCGTCATGGCAGCAGGCCAGGCCGCTGCTCTGGTGCCCATCAATCTCGCATGGCACTCCGCCAATCTCCATGCAAAGCCCGATCCTGAGGAGCGCGCCTCGGTCAAGCAGCTCAAAGACAAATACCCCAACATCAAGGCCTACAACTTCTCGGTTCCGATCGACCATTTCCACAACGAATCGAGATACGAACCGCATTCGAGCGACTCGTTTCCCCTAAGATATTGGCTCGACACGTCCAACTACAAGCCTGGAGGTCCCGTCATCGTCCTCCACTCCGGCGAATTCGACAGCGATGGCCGACTGCCTTATCTCCAGCATGGCATTGTGCCCATCCTGACAAAGGCAACGGGAGGCGTCGGCCTTGTCATGGAACATCGTTACTACGGCACCAGCTTCCCCGTTCCCGACCTGACGACGCAGAACCTGCGATTTCTCACAACGGAACAGGCTCTCGCCGATACTGCCTACTTTGCACAGCATATCGAGTTCCCCGGCCTAGAACACCTAGATCTGACAGCTTCTGCAGCTCCGTGGATCATATACGGAGGGTCTTATGCCGGTGCCTTTGCTGCCTTTACGCGCAAACTGTATCCTGATGTCTACTGGGGCGCCATCTCATCATCTGGTGTGACGGCCGCGGTTGAGGATCTCTGGCAGTATTTTGAAGCGGCGCGACAGTATGCACCAGGAGACTGCGGGCCCACGACGCAAAAGATTACCCATGTGGTTGATTCAGTCCTTTTTAGTGACGACGCGGCCAATGTGCGCAGATTCAAAGAATTGTTTGGCCTGGGGGGTCTCGACGACGATGATTTCGCCACCACCATCGCCCGCGGTCTCAGTGGATTGCAGTCCACCAACTGGGACCCCGAAGAGGATGTGTCTTCCCTCGGAATTTACTGCGCAGTCATCACCTCCAACGCTCAGCTGTTTGCCAGCACGACTCACCTCATCCCAACTGTGCAAAACCTCGTCGCCCAAGCAGGCTTTGAATCCCAATCCGAGGTCCTTTCCGTCCGCTTGCTCAACTATATCGGTTATGTCAGAGATTACGTTAAACGTAATCTCAAGTCGAGCTGCAAGGGCAAATCCGTCGTGGAATGTTTCTCTTCAAAGCACATCTCTACTGATTCTGGCCTTGAGGCTGGATGGCTGCGCAGCTGGAGCTACCAGGTTTGCACACAGTGAGTATTGTCACACTCCGTCTATGGCGTCAACCATTTCGTGTTGCTGACTTGAAATCTTTCCCAGATGGGGATATTTTGTCACCGGTTCAGGCACGCCGAAAGACCAGCTTCCTATGATTTCCCGAGCCGTTACCCTCAAATCGGCTTCGTCGCACTGCGAAATACTCTTCAACATCACCTCTTCTCCAGATGTAGCGTCCATCAACAAGCTAGGAGGCTTCAACTTTAGCTACCCTCGCCTGGCGATTATAGATGGATTGCAGGATCCATGGCGATCTGCGACACCACACGCGACCGGCCTGCCCGACCGAAAGTCAACTACAAGTGAGCCGTTCATGCTCATTGACTGGGGCGTGCACCACTGGGATGAATTCGGCCTACCCGAGGACATGCACGTCCCAGGCCTGCCGCCGCCTCAAGTGACGGAAGCACACAAGGCGGAGATTGAGTTTGTTCAGGCGTGGCTGAAAGAGTGGGAGGAAGAAAACGGAAGCTCTGGTCGCCAATCGAATCAAGAAGACGAGATGATGGCGGAGTTGTAGGATAGAGTATGGGCTCACGAATTATTATTACACCTATTTTCTCTCGCCAAGGTAGCAACCATTCTGCGGATCGCATTCTGTCTTCTGTGTACCTGTCAATCAATTCACGACAGCAACCTCCGGTCACATATGTTCATCACCCTCACGCCCGCGAGTTGGTCTTCATTTTTGAGTATGGCCATCATCAATGCCATCCAACTTGGCATTCCGGCGATGGTCTACTGACGTTTGCCTCTATCTGAGCGAACCAGGCCAACTTTATCACCCAGCAACGGGGAAAGACACACAAATTGGCCAACCAATGATTGCTTTCTCTTTTTTTCCCCAGGAATTTCGAATGACATTATTCGACGAGATAGCCATCTCACCATTGATGTAGCTCTTCATCTACCAACCACTTCTGAGGAGAAGCCAAAAGGACACGATGTACCTTATTGATCCCAGCAGCGCTCTAGACATAAAATTAAAGCATACTACTACATAACAAGTCCTGCCTTCCTCATCTCGACTCTTTTGTACATATACATACCTGCTGTCTTAACATTTGCTGGACATTACTTGTTCCGGCATCTTGGCATTGAGCTGCGATGGCGCGATGGCGGGGAGGTTGGTCGACATGGATAAATCTGATGGAGTCCATCATCGATTGTCTGAGCCCACAAACATGTATGAAACCCACCTACCCGGCAGCAAGCGGGTGGGGGGGGGGCGAGCAGCAGCACTGTAAATGCAGTAGAGGGATTACCATTATGATGGGTTAAGATGGTTTGTCTTAACCCGATGTAAAGTATATCCGGTGTTGAACATAGCCGTGATGCCGGACAGGTATTAGTAGCTTGTGATGGATGGTAAATGTTAACCAGCAATACGATAAGAGTGAAGGTTTTTAAGCTTCACGAGTGCTAAAACGCGGCCCAGATGAAACAAAAATTTACTGCTACAAGTATTGAAGATACAAGCCACAGCGCAAACTTGAAGGTCAATGATTGTACAAAATAACAGCATCCTGGATTTCTCAGGTGGGCGCGAAGATCCGGGAGAAGGACGGTACAAAAGCCATAAGTGTATTGATTGCTATCTAGCCTGGTTTATATATCTAGTGATATCCAATGATGAGACAATTTACCGGTCATTCGAGTAATATGAAGCATCTACTTCCCCGCGGATAAGAGAATGTGGGTAAGTGTAAGTGCGGCATTCGACGATGTGACGATGAAGCATGTTTTGAATTGGGGGAGACGTCCCAGTTTGCGGAGTGACTGAGCGACGGCTGCGACTGTTACTTAGTCAGAATTATCCCGCGCAATGTCATCATCGGGCAGAGTGGCTGAGTGGTCTAAAGCGTTAGACTTGAATTCAACACGATTCTCGCTATCTAATACCTTCGGGTGCGCAGGTTCGAACCCTGCCTCTGTCGTTTCTTTTTGCAACTTTCCTCAGCATATCTTGTTTGTAGTTCTTTTTGTTCCCCGTTTTCATTTTTGTTTTTTGTTTCTACAAAGAGGCTGCGGTCGATGCACAAGTTACGCGTTTATGGTTAATTGAATCTGTATAGCGCTTGCAAGCGTCGTCACCTCTATCGTTGCGACGATAAGTGCATTCTGCATTTGCATGATACTTGTGATAATAGCAACTGTAGTTTCCTTTGCGGTCCTTCTTTTGTCCCAGGTACCGAGTTTGGATAGAAGTTTGGTTTCATTCACAGTCTGCGAGTCGTTTGGAATGCTAATATTAGCCTCTCTATGAGTTTCAGCGTCGACCCTTTGCGCACTCCCGGAGACGAAGATGCTCAACGTCGTCGAACTCTGCCAGCGACTTCTCAAGCAAAACTAATAAGGAATCGCATTGGCACTTCGTCGATTATTTGGCCAAGACGCAGTAAAATAATACGAGCTCGAAAGGAGAAACATTCATCTCCAGTCGATTGGGAACGGGATGCATAAGCCTTCAGCATGTGTTGAAAGATTAACTTCTTTCACAATTTAGCGAAAGACCAAGCTCTCTCTGTCAGGTATATGAGCGGCTGTAGGCTCGTTTATCGACTCACCAAAGGTTCTGTGATAGTGGAGTTTACAATAAGCTTGAGGTAGCTCGTGCGCCTGAGTCAGATAGTAGATAGTAGAAGAATGAGTGGCTCGATGGACGGAGTCAATTCGAACATATGGCGCAAGGGATATGGAGTTTCTATCGGCGACTTTGGCCAAGCATATGTGCATATGGAATCATTGAAATGCTAGCAACAACTATGCCGAGTGCCAATGCGGTTTCTATTGTGCTAAGGCCTGACGAAGGGGGCGTGATATATTTCGACGGTGTAGCAACTCTAATTTCTCTTCAGATATTCATTTTGAATGAACAATTGGCGGATTTCACCTCTACTCTTATGGCTTGGACCCTCGACTTCTTGCCCTTCATCTTGGGAATAAAAAGGCGGATTTCATATACGACGTTTCAGTTCTTTGGATGCCAGATGCTATCCGTCGGGCCATATGGGACACCGCGACTGTAGTCAACTATCACTCGTCTCTTCTTCTCGCTCTCCAGTGCTGGCCTGATACGAACGAACTTCAACGTCCTCAACATAGTTGTATACCGTCCGCCGTTCGCCTTCTTTGCCCAGGACCAAAATAGTGTTCTCGCGGACATAGAGTGGAAGTGTGTCAAAGTCGTGCTTCTCTTTCACCCACCTGGGTCCGGACTTTACTTCCTCAGTGAAGAAATTCGTCCATCGACCTTCGGGCAAGTAGAACTCGACTTCTCCAGTCTCTTCAAAAACTGGAGCCACCAGTAATTTGGACCCAAGCATGAATTGGCGGTCGAGATACCATGATGTCGGGTCTTCCGGAAACTCTGGAACAACGTTAGCCATTGGCACTCATATTGCTCACTCTGCTAATGGATGGATCATACCTAAGCACATAGCGCGAACACTTAGCGGAAGGCCTCCTGCAATAGATTCTGCCGCTTGAGCATACAAATAAGGCATGAGGCGGGCCTTTAAAGCAGTCCATCTTGCCAACGTCTTCGAACAGCTCTGTTCTCCCGGGTCATCGTTGTCAATCGTCCAGGGAGCACGATAACTGTTACTGCCATGAAGGCGGCTATGTGATGTTAATAAGCCAAATGCAACCCATCGTTTGTATATCCACGGCGATGGGTAGCCCTCAAAGCCTCCAATATCCACGCTCCAAAAGGAAAATCCACAGAGACCAAGAGACAGGCCGCCGCGAAGTGACTCGGCCATTGCTTCAGGAGTCGACTCGCAATCTCCTCCCCATTGTAGAGGAAATCTTTGGCAGCCTGCCGTCGATGCTCTTGCAAAGACAACGGCCTCAGATTTGCCATGGCGCTTCTGTAGAGCTTCATACACCACCTTGTTGTAGATGAAGGAGTAGTAATTATGCATCCTTGACGGGTCCACGTTTGGATCATGCCACTGTATATCATCATTGACCGGGATTCTTTCGCCAAAGTCTGTCTTAATGGCAGAGACACCGGTATCGAAGAGCGCTTCCAAGCAGCCAACAAACCACTTTGTAGCTTCAGGGTTCGTAAAATCCACAATTCCCATTCCCGCTTGCCACAGATCCGTCTGCCAGATATCACCGTTCTTTCTCTTTAATAGATAGCCTTTCTCTGCTGCCATCTTGAAAACGGGCGAAGCCTGGCCGAGATATGGATTCGTCCAGACGCATACCTTATTGACCAGGCCGCTGGCCTTGAGGCGGCTTATCATGTTTGCAGGCTCTGGAAACATTTCCGTATCAAAAACAAAATCGCACCAGTGGAATGCTTTGAGCCAGAAGCAATCGTAGTGAAACACCTCGACCGGAATATCACGAGCTGCCATGCCCTCGAGAAATGAGCTGACGGTTTTCTCATCGTAACTAGTTGTGAATGATGTAGAAAGCCAGAGACCGAAGCTCCAAGCCGGAACTCCTCCCGCTCTGCCAGTCATAGTGGTGTATTTATAGAGAACCTCCTTTGGCGAGGGACCGTAAATCAAGTACCATTTGAGACGCTGACCTTTCACGCTGGTTTGTACACGGCTTGATCGTTCACTTCCAACTTCCAGATCAACTTTGTCTGGGGTATCGATGAAGACGCCATATCCCCGGCTACTAAGCCAAAACGATACGTTCTTGTAGGCCTGTTCAGAACTTGTACCGCCATCCTGTTGCTAGTTAGCATGACATATGACCAAGTGTATCAGTAGAGGACGTGACAGGTGCCAAGGCGTACCGAATTCCATAGAGATATACTCTGACCGACTTTGTTGAATGCGCCAAAACGTTCACCAAGTCCGTGTACAGTTTCACCCACGCTGAGCGTTGTCTGCGTGAATATGTAGTGATCAAAGTTTCTCATATCATCAAGCTGAAGAGGGGTGCTGGGCGCTGGACCATAGGCAAAACCCACGCTGCGGTTTAGTAATGAAGTTAGAGTCTTGGATCCGTCTGTTGCATGGAAGCGGATATCGAACGTATGTTGGTCAGGATGAATCGTGGCGCTGAGAGATCCTGACGCAATCGTCGTGCCTTTGTCTGACGCGGAAATACTAGCATTGTCCTGAGGCTTTCCTGAGGGGAAAAGATCGAAATCAGGCCCTTTCTTCGCAGCTCCAGACCAGTGAGTGACTTCAACAGAAATCACGCCATCAAAAACGGCTTCAATATCCTAATAGGATTAGCATCTTGATTCATGTACTTGGATTTTGAGATATACTTACAAGTGTCACAGTAGGCAGGTTTAGAGTATCACCCCGCGAGCGAACGTGCTTTGTCGGACACAGTAATGATAGGGCTCGACCATCCTCCCGCTTTGTGATGGCATATACATCCTCTGCATATTCCGTCCTCTTCCCCTCTATGGGAAGCCACATGCCATCCCTGAACTTTGTCATGATGCCTTTTCGCGCAACTGCGCCTCTCTCGTGTGGTGATTGTTACGACCAGTTGACTGGTATAGCTGTTATACCTGCGGAAGCGACCACGGAAATAAAGAAAATGTCTCTTATTAGTTGCTAATAAGAGGGTTTCTACGACTTGATGTTTCTCAGATGGTACTGATCAGTTGGATGTTTCTTGCGTTTAGGCTAAAGTCTCGGGTGTCGCTGAAGCGCTCTAATAATGATCAAGATCTTTAGCTCCGTATTGTTCTTAAAACGGGGCCTTTGGAGAAGTTTACGAGCGCTAAGAAAACATTTTGCCGATGTCGAGTATGTGCATGGGGGATTCCACCAATCGAACCATCCAACAGAGTATTATGGGTTTTACATATAAAGTACGGAGTTCAGGACAACTCCGTGCTTGGCGGCGCCATCTGATAGAACCGAGACGTTGACCCGGATGGTGGCGTCGACCGCTCGGGGTCAATTACCCGAGTGCGAACATGGATGCTCGGTATACAATGATGCGAAGACCGTAATGGGGGGAAACTGTACCGAGTATCTAGACCACATTGGATCTCAAACTCTATCATAACTTAGATCGTGGAGCTGCAGACTTGTAGTGTTTCTTGCAACCATCGTCTTAAAGGGCTTTATGATAGCGTTTGCATGACAGTGAAAAATACTATGCAAGATACGAAGCTCACCTACTAGCGGAGAGATGATGGCCAAGAAGCGATTTCCGAGTTACTGAGGCGTTAATAATGAGGCTATTCGTCACAGAACCACGTTATCATTTTTCAATAGCTTTATGGGTCAATCAGCGCCCTTTCATGAGCATCAAGTCGCTATGTTCTAGCCGATATGCCCATTTCCCACAAGTCTCGGCCAACTCCAAATGTCTGATGTTATGGTAACGCCGTCGGAGCAAAGCTTTGTAGCTTTCCCCAAACCCCTTGTGCTTGCTTGGCTTATACTATCATAATAAGAGTAGATGTAAGAGACATCGGCATCAGCATCAGTATTACCAATACCGCAGGCGGCCTAAGATGGGATCGCGAACAGCACTTCATGAGAGGCAGGCAGTCTTACTCCGCACGGGGTCTCATCTAGCTGAGACATCACCCCACTGCATCCTGACCGACAACTTCGGAGTATTACACAGTAGCTTCGGGGGAGTTATTTTGCACATGCGTGCGATCTCGTAACGCTATAGTCCATCCCCGCGTTCCAGGATGCAGAAAGTCCGAAGTGTGTGTTTGGTCGTGCCATATTCTGAGCGAGGATGAGTAGTAGAGGACCCCGGTAGAGGGGACGACTGGCTGACGACCATAAGCGAACTGCAACCTGAAATCTGGATGGCCGACTCCCGAGACAAGATCTAACTTGCCATTGTTTCCGATAAGGTCCATCTAAAGCTTCTGGTGGGTGATGAATTACACACAGTACTACGTATTCACGTGGTACGACCAAGTTGTAAAACATAGCTACAGCCAGATGGAGAGGCATCGAGCAAGCATCGAGCATTCCAACCCCCCGGAATATCCTTGTGGACTTTGCGGAGTAGAAGCGTCAAGTCATCAGTTGTAATGCTGTTGGAGACTAGTTGCCTATCCAGCCACGGAACGTGATCATCCGCATCCAAACTTACATGCACTCCGTACACTAGGAATGCCAACCATGTTAGTAGTGTTCGGGTAAAAGAGGGGCAAACGTGGGGTTGAGAAGCATTTGAAGCCATCTCAAAAGCATCAGTCGATACAAGCCCATCAATCACCGAAAGCTAAAGACATGGATTCGATGGCTTGTAATATCGATAGGAGCACTACTGCGAGTATAGGCTAATACTGATTAACCGTGTGGATAAAGTTGGTATAACGTTCCAGAAATGACAGAGACAGGGCGATCTGGTGCGGTCTGGGCTCTTGTTATTCCCAGACTTGCTGTTTGGCGCTCCAATTACCTTTGATCCCGAAGGGTCGTATGAGCTAATGATGCCAGCTGACCGGCACTCGCCCAATTCCCATGCTTTTCCAATCTGTATAAGACTAGGTACATGTCCAGAATTGTGGCCCTCGAGCTAAAGGTTTTGTAATCTGGCCTGGTGTGTTCATGACCTAAGTTTAGTGGTCGTGTAGCCTTCCATATTTCATTGCTGCCATGGCAGAAGTAAACATTACAAAGGTGGCGGCCACTCATCTTGAGGAGACTCTCGGTGAAGGCGCCATCGTCGATGCCAAACATGCCTCTGACGAAGAACATTCGCAGACCTTGTTGCAGGCCTTGAAAAGCAACCGCAAGGCTGTATTCTGGTCCATGATGATCTCGATGAGTATCATAATGGAGGGCTACGACACAATCCTCATGGGAAATTTCTTTGGTAAGATACATATGCCCTTGACTGAAACCAAGACTCTGACATTGAGATTGACCGCATACAGGATATCCGGAGTTTGCGAAGAAATACGGAACGGATCATGGAGGCAGTGTGGGATACCAGGTCTCAGCACCTTGGCAGTCTGGCTTGAATATGGGTTCGACCGTTGGAGCAATTTTCGGTATCTAACCCATCATCGTGCTTGTGGCTTCTTTGTGTTACTAATAGGTACGGGAAATCTCAGGCGGTATCCTAAACGGATATCTCGTGTCTCAACTCGGTTACCGATACGTGATGATTGGAGCGTTGTTCTTTATGAACGCTTTCGTCTTCATCGTGTTCTTCGCCAACTCCGCAGCGGTATTACTAGTCGGTCAAATCCTCTGCGGTTTGAGCTGGGGTGTGTTTGCAGTCGCCAGTCCGTCGTATGCGTCAGAGGTTTGCCCAACAAACCTGAGAGGTTACCTCACGACCTATGTCAATCTGTGTTGGGCAATCGGCCAGTTTATCGCAGCAGGTGTGCTCGAGGGACTCATCAACCGCCATGATCAATGGGCATACCGTATTCCATTTGCCATCCAATGGATATGGCCAGTTCCGCTCATGATAGTTTGCTTCTTCGCGCCCGAAAGTCCCTGGTTCCTCGTGCGCAAAGACCGGGTAGATGATGCTAAGAAGAGCCTACGACGTCTAGGAGGAGAGAAGACTGAGGACCAAATCAATGGCCAGCTTGCTATGATGATACACACCGTCAACATCGAAGAAGCTCAAGCGAAAGAAAGCAAATCTTATGTCGAGTGCTTTAGAGGCACTGACCTTCGCCGTACAGAGATTTGTTGCGTGGCCTTTTTCGGACAGATTCTTTCAGGAAGCTCATTTGCATACTCCCCTAGTTATTTCTTTACGACAGGTAAGATCCATCTCCTGAAAACGAAACAGTTCCAGCGGTCGTTGTGCTAACATATCTCGTACAGCTGGCATGAGCCCAGATCACGCATATCAGCTCAACCTAGGTGGAACGGCAATTGCTTTCCTAGGAACAGTCTTTTCCTGGTTCTTGATCACCCATTTCGGCCGCAGAACTTTGTATGTAACAGGCCAAGGTATCTTGTGTACCACGCTCCTTGTTATCGGAATCATAAACGCTGCAACCTCCGCCAAGAACGCCATTTGGGCAGAGGCGGCATTATGCATCTTTTGGCTCCTCGTATATGCCTTGACAGTCGGTCCTCTTGCGTATGCAATTGTATCAGAGACATCGTCTATCAGGCTGCGCCCACTTACGGTGTCATTGGCCAGGACAGCCTATCAGGTATTATCCAACACCAGGCTTCCTTTTACACACACACTACTGACATTTGTTTAGATCATAAATATTGTTTCGCAGGTCCTTGAACCGTATTTCATGAACCCTACTGCTTGGAACGCATCTGGAAAGACAGGATTCTTCTGGTAAGCCAAATGAAAACATCAGGAGTGAATGTGCTAACATTTATCGTCAGGGGTGGCACAGCTCTATTAACATTCATCTGGGCTTACTTTCGCCTACCAGAAACCAAAGATCGTACTTACGAAGAGCTCGATATTTTGTTTGCAAAGAGGATTTCTGCGAGGAAGTTTGCATCGGAAAAGGTCGATGCATATGAAACGCATATTGAAGCAGAAGCGGTGGAAAAGAAGTAAGAAACTGTTTGTTCTTCTATCGGTTTCGTTTTACTTCAAATAAGATAATCTAAATTGTTGAATTTCCTTTATCAACTGGCCATATATGGCCAAATCTTTTACAGCGACAGTGAAATAAGTATATAAGTATATTGCATTGACAATTAGAATCGGCAAGTGTAGCCTACGACCCATCTCCACGAATCTGTGTCATTTTATTTCTCTTCTTTTGCAGCCTGCAGTCGTAAAAAGAGATTGACACCAGTACCAAATATTAACATCTCTTTATGACCACCCAAATCATTTTGCAAACTGGCATCCCAACTGGCTACCCAGGCTCCAGTTATTACCTTACCAATATTAAGACCTAATAATATTACACTACCAAGCGATTTCACAGATTATTTCTCTATGCGATGTAGACTATTTATTTCTACTCATGCACGTGGAGGTCAGAAAAAGCGAGACAGTAGAATGAATATATAAATATAGTAGTAGTTGCTATGAATGTATAAATAAAATAGCAGTTACTAAAACAATAGAAATATAACAGCAGCTACTGAATTAATAGAGATATACTAGCAGATAATTGAAGAACTGCTGTATAATCTCTCTTGTGGGTCTTCGAAATCTTCTTGGTCTTGGTTTTTCTGCCGCCCCTTTGCCATGTTATGTTGAAGAGGCATCTGGAGGGACGGGTTGGGAATTGCAATGTTAGAGTACATAACTCACTGGCTATTAAATGTAAAGGTTTCGGAAAAACAAGAGGTCTAAGTATTGGATGAAATGCTTGATTAATACAACATCATATTTATTGACTTTTGACAAACAGCCCACAGTTGATGGGTTTCCCAGCAAAAGCTGGACCAATCTCTATCACGCCGAGCAAAGTCGACGACAATAATCTAATGCAAAACAGGGTACACCTTCTTAAACGCCTCTGTTTTTGCCACATTTGACCACCACTGCTTCGTTTTCGGACCAATCTTGAACTCTGGCACAGTCTTTTGAATCAGCGCCTCCAAAGGACCAAAGTCTTGAATTGCAGTCACAGGCGTATCCGCTCCCATCATGGCATGTGCGAGCCACGGAACCGTGTTGTAGTCGGCCTCACTGACTCGAGAGCCAGCCGCAAACGGCAATGCGATCAGACTTTCCAACTTATCGAGACCTGCAGCCATGGTGCGGTACATCTCATCTGTCAATTGGTAGAGACCCTCATGTCCAGGGCCAACCTTGGCGCGATACAATGATGTAATGCCGAGATTTTCTGCAGTTTTCGAGACATAAAACGGATGTTCAGGGTGTGCGGCAAGTTCCTTGTCTAGACGCGCCTGGCGCTCCTCGAGAAATGCGTTCCAGCCGCTATTCTTCTTGGCTTCCATCTCGGCAGGATCCCGTGCCTGAAACAGGATGAGATTTGTAGTCATTGAAGGAGAATGCATAAGTTCGAGAATTTCTTTGGAGCGTTGTTCATCATCAGGCACAAGGGTCTTGGTCCCGCGAGAGTCGATCCATCTCAGAATATCGGCGCTTTCAATGAGAGGCTTGGTGAGCGATGGTGCAGTGAGAGAAGGCACCGTGCCATTGGGGTTGATGGCGATATATTCCGGCGCAAAATTGTCACCAGTTGCTAAAGCAGAAACTTGTTAGAACCGTCCGTAGCGGCGATAACATGATGACTTTGAGACTTACACAGCGTAATTTCTTTGACATCATAATCTACATCTGCTTTGAGGCCCTTCTCCTCAAGTGCAAGGAGCATAACTCCCACCCATTGGCTTTGAACCGAACTGTAAATAGTAAACTGAACAATGGAGTGTTAATGCGATTTTCGTTTGTCTGTATGCGTTATAGCTACATACTTTTTCCGCCATTGTGGGCGATTGCGATAAAGATGTCGACTAAAGTGAAAATAGAGTTTCGAAGTGTTTTTGGATGTAGTGATAAGCTGTGATTCTGCTTTATTGTGGTTTCTAAAGTTTCTTCTCGAGGAAGAGCATCTTTCTACGCGTTTATATATTCCTACGCCTTGTCAATATCTCCATCCCAATGGAATCAACAAATAAACGCCAAGAAACCATATGGAATCGAATCCTAAACACCACCACAATTCTCTCAGCAGACTCGGGCACAGCTATGAAACTTAATTACGTAGGTTACCACGGACGAAAAAGAGTTTGTCAGCCATTGAGAGTAATTTTTCGCGACGCACGAGACGAGTTAGTGGCCAAGCTAGTTGCGAAAGATACACCGTGCGTAGATTGAACGTAGTCAATTCGGTAGTTGTGTCGCAGTCTTGGAATACTGAGCTGGCACACGCATATTTTTTATTCAGCCGCCCGAGTTCGTCCGGAAGCGAACTCTTACTGCATATGTTGTTACCAATCGAAGCTTCTACGACTTGGCATTCTTTTACTGTTGTACTTGAAGTATGAAATCATTTGATAGTTGAGAAACAGGATTGGCAATAATCTACTCTTTAGCTACAATGCTGCCACTGACATCACACAACTTAGTCTTAACTCGTTGCTATAGAACAAACCACGGACAAGCATCTCGCTGTTTTTGCCCAAAAATCAGGATGACTAAGAACACACCACAAGCTCTCATAGCAACGACCGATTCAGTCACTTGCATTGCCCACAAGTGGGTTAGGCGGCTATAGTGGACATGGCTCGCCTGCAACATTTGTTGCTTTGGAACTGCGATAAGTGCGAACGGTTCTCTGTGGAGTCCTCATGGGTTTCCAGATGGAATCTTTCTCTCAGCACGAAGTGGCAACCTTCTAATTGGCTTTCCGAGCATCCAACGGCGGCCCCCCCCCCACCATCTCACGCCGACATGAGCTTGTGTCGCCATGGCTTCTGCTAATGTGGTGTTACCCCAAACGCCACAATCGACAGCTCAAGGAATATACAGCCTAGTCAAAGAGCTCTTGATTGATTCGCCCCCGTAGGGCTATGAGGTGTTTTACTACTAGTGCTGGGACAACCCTCATCAAAACATGACGCCCATCACTCAGCATCAAAATAGAGTTGATCGTCGAGTATTGCTTCAGAGACATACCGTACTAACGGTAAATAGTAGTAGTATAGGCGAGCAGGGTTGTTTACTGCCCCAGATACTATTCTTACGCGAGAGAGCCACTTGTCGGAGGGAATCTATGTAAACCACTGTAAGTGAGTATAGACCGTCTCAAATTGGCGATGGTCGGAAGTTGGTCCCACGCATTTCCACGATAGAGGACACTTGACTGTGTGATCGTTGATAAAGCGATTACGCGTGATTATGTTGTAACGGCTACGTGAAATATCGACGGCATGTTCTGCACAAAGAAAGGAATTTATTTAGATATGTATTTCATCAACGAGAATGAGAGAACATGCTTGCAGAAATTACGAGCAACAGAAGCTGAGATGCACAATGCCAGCACGAATTGTACCAAGAGTGTTGTAAAAGCTATACATTAATAGATGAGAACATGGAACTCAATAGCCCTGTATACAAACGTGAGTTCTTTGTATTCAATTTTGTGTCAAAATTTTGTACACGAAATATCTTGCCGTTAAGATATTTCTAAATCTTACATTGCCTGTACCGCGAACATCGTCAGCAAAACCACTTGCCCCAGAATAACACGAGCTCACCTCGCTTACAATACGATCAGACACGTAAAACATGCAAGCCCCTGTATGCAAGATGACGCGACGTCACTCTTGACGAGGTTTCTCCGCGGCCAAAAATCCCTTCCAGGGCAAAGGCGGGTGTTAGCGCAACAAATTCGGTCGCTTTCAAGAGTCTCCTACTATGTTTCAAGCACTCACTGGTGAGTCTTGGGAGATAATTCATAAACGAACTTGGAAAAGACTTTTTGTGGCCTATGATGGATTCTCAAGCAGTTTACAAGTCTAATGCCTTTGTTAAAGGCCACAAGTGTGACGGTTAGGATTTCTCATTTACAATGTGAGGTATTCCAATTGAGAACTACGTACTCGGATATATAATGTGACACACTCCTTTTCTCTTTTCTGGCACAGTGCCTTATGTACAATGTTTTACGCATATCGTTTGCCAAGATGTTTGGCAAGGAACGGGAGTATATATCCTACCATCTGATCTAAGTTGCTGATCAATGCAAAGTGACCAGCATCGAGCAGATGGATCTCAGCGTTAGGCAGGTCACGCTTGAAAGCTTTTGCTCCAGGGGGAACGAAACTAAAAATGCGTCTCGGTTAGTTTGCACCGAAAAGGGACTGGAAACTTCGGTTGTCTTCTCTTACATCGTATCTTTCTCGCCCCAGACGGCAAGTAGTGGCACCTGAGACTCGCGAAAGTATTCTTGGAACTTCGGGTACTGCTTGACATTGTTTCGGTAGTCATAGAACAGGTCGAGTTGATAGTCATCATTGCCTGGCCTGTTCGCCATGAGAGTCCAATCGAGCCACCAAGATTCAGGCTCCAGAGCGGCAACGTCCGTAGTTCCACCGGTGTATTGCCCCTCCGTAGTGTTAAATGAGAGAACTCCTTCCAAAGCCTCACGGTCACTAGATTGTCAATGTTGTGTTAGTTATCATTGTATCCCGGGGATACACAACCGGTGAATACGTAGAAGTTTCTTACGTCTTGCTTCCCGATGCCCAGTATTTTTTCACCGGATCCCAAAATGGCCCTAAGCCCTCATTGTACGCATTGCCGTTTTGCGAAATAATAGCCGTTACGCTTTTGGGGTTCCGTACAGCAAGTTTCAAGCCAACAGGGGCACCGTAGTCAAATATATAAAGAGCATACTTGGAAATATGGAGAGCTTCCAAGAATTTTTCGGTAACAGTAGCAAGGTTATCAAATGTATGAGGGAATTTGGAAGGAACAGTTGTGAACCCAAATCCCGGATAGTCCAAGGCGATTACATGATAGCTCACCGCGAGGATCGGAATTAGGTGGCGAAACATGAATGAAGACGTAGGAAACCCATGAAGCAGTAGGATCGTGGGAGCATCGGACGGACCGGCTTCTCGGTAAAAGACATTATAATCTCCAACCGCAAGATGGTTGACGGCCGGTATAATAGCCGAGGTGATATTTGCCATTTTCAAGTTCAACTTGGAGACAAATCAGATGGTTACCAAAGAGATTTTGAAGAAAGCTATGGAGCATAACATGATTAGGTTTTTAAGCTTCCCTCCTACACCTACAGGTACCCCACCTTTTAGGTACTACCTTACCAAAACCTTAAGCCTGCTCGACTAGCTATTAAGCAAAACGACTTTATTATTTACCTTCGACAGCCCTTTGGGGACTTAGATAATAATAGCTAGTCCTGCTATTAACGCTAGTCCCTTAGACTAAAACTCCCTAGCTATCCCTAGGTAAATAGCTCCTGCTAGAAATAAATATACCCCGAAGGCAGTCCTTAGTAAAGGGTAGACTATAGTATTAGTAATTACTTTTAAGAAGAAATAACTTTGCATAGGTAACTTTGTTATAAATAATATCCTAATACTAAACCTAAGCCTTAGCAAAAGCCTTAGGATCCCTAAAACTATAAAAGGAATATAAACCTTTATTTTCAGTAATTATAAAAAAACTACTGCTATATATAATAAAAACTTCTTACCTAAATATATTAATAAATAACTTAAGGAAATATACTTTATTTAGTAAGTTAGAAAAGATATTCTTATTAATATAGCTAAAGCTATAGAAGAACGCCTTAAGAAATATAACTATAAGTATTACCTAGTAGTAGTACTATAAGTCCGTAAGGTATTTATAATTACTATAGAATCCCTTATCTCCCCCTAATTTAAAAGGATAGGGGAGATGTTTAACTCTAAAAAATTAAGCTCTAGAGTATTTAAAGCTTAATAACTTAACCCTATATTAGCTAACTTAGTATATAAGAAATAAAATAAATTAAGTAGGCCCCTAGGACTTACTATGGGCTTGCTTATAAATACCCTGCAAAAAGGCAGCCACACATAGGCTTAAGTAGTGTTAAAAAAGAATAAAATTTATAAAAATAATAATATAAAAGAAAAAAATACCTCTAGATCTAATAGTAAGGGGCCAGCCCCTAGCGCTAGATTTAAAGGTAGAAAAAAGGCCCTTAAAATAGCCTAGGAATCTAATAACTATATTTTTATCTAAGTCCCTTTAGATTATAAATAAAAAAAAATAATAGCTATTAAGGCTAAATAAAAGCTAGTTAGTAAACTTAAGCTAAATAATAGTAATATTACTTACTTTTAAGAAGTCTACTTAGGCTTTGCCCTTTAGACTTAAAATAATATTATTAAAGAATATATCCTTACTATAGAACAGGTATAAATAAATAAAAATTTAAAATTTAAAAAAGCTTATATATAAAAGATCTTCTTTATATATTAAGTAAAAAGATTTTATAAGGATAAAACAGGGACCCACCTAACTAATGTATTAATTACGGAGGAGGCGTAAACTAGCACCTATGTATTATAACCCCCAGTAGTATATTATAAAGCGCTATTTAAAAAAACCTAGGATATATACTATTACTTTATCTCCTTTAATAAAAATATTAAAAAGGGCTTTAGATTATTTAATAACTTAGCCTAAGCTAAGCTATAGATCTTAAAACCTAAAATTATATAATATTAAAGATATAAAAGCTTCTATAACTAGTGCAACTACACTAGGACTAAGAGGTGCGCTAAGTGTGGCAAACTATTAGCCTTATATAATAATAATAATATAGTTAACTACCTATTACCTCCCTAATATACTAACTACCATGGCCTATATAAGTTAGACTTAATAAAATATTACACCTGCCTAATTATTAAAAATAAGATAGTAAAATATAAAAACCGCGGATAGCTTAAGAAAATAAAAAACT